TTGCTGTTGTGCCAATATTAGCCAAGAAAACCGTTTTGAGGGAAAAGTCGAGTTGTTTTTAAGCTCTAGGAATGTATATTACTGCATTCCCTAAAATACAGCAGCCATTTTTACTTCACTTTGTACAAATGAATGCAATGGGGGTCAATTGACGAGGTCTTTGTAAAGAGCGACAATTGCACCACTTCCAACTGAATAGCCTTCCTCTGGCAATTTAATGCGGAACTGAAGTGCGAAATAAAACTGTGTAAAGTAATTGAAGGCCCTTCAAGGTCGGTCAAAACAGTATCATTCCACTGTATTTGATTTCGCAAGAAAAGCCGGGATGTACGAAGAAGGGAAGTTGTCTTCAACCTTCCAGTACGTCATGTTAATTAATTTCCTTTTCCTTTAGGTTCATGAAAGGACTTCAGGTATTTTGCATTTTTAGGAAAATGTGTATGCATAAATAAAAATTCCGCTGTGGGATGGGCTAACGAACAGTACGATCAAATGTAGTTATGCCACCAAGGCTCAAAAGGCAAAAAATAACACACAAAAGCGAATCGAATAGTGGACACGACGCCTTATAAAGTGGTGGCAAATGAAGTGATGAAGAATGAGCGTACGATCAGGTGTTCGTAGGTACTACAGAAACGGGCTCGTTTATTTCGGCTGTTTAGCCCATCTAGATTTACATGTACTGATGGATTGACTAACAGATGGAATGAATGACTTGAGTTTTTACTTTCCAAGGGGTGTTTTTTACCAAACCTGGAATATTACGTTGTAAAAAGGTGCTATTTAAGGTAAGCATAGGTGTATCCCTACAGTCATGTGCTTGGGCATCAGATCTGCCATCATTGTGAGCATTTGTTTGTAGAATGTGGGGTGCTTCCGGAACATGTATCCGTCCACAGCCAGCGTCACGCGCAGTTGATTCAGACGCTTCAAAATTGTCACTGCGGCTTTGATGAAGGGAAAAGTAAATCAAGACTCGGGGTTAAATAAAGGAAAGTAGTTTGAATTCAAATACCTGCTTCCACCTTTCCTCGCAATTGACCTACAAGTTTTTGCTTTTACAGGTGCGATACTGCGAGGAAGTCGTACTTTCGATGCAAAAATCGACAAAAGGGTAGTTCAAACTGAGATTCTCGATGCTGCGGAAGCGCATTAAATCAGCGGCTCGCGACTTGGAGAAGGAAAAGTGGAAGTTAAGCCATTTAAAGAGTGCTAGTTCCGATGAATGCCTACGATGTAGTCTGATTATGCTTCGAAAACTCAAGCTTCACTCAGTCAACCACCTTTTCACATTAATTCAATTTTCTATTTTAAATTGGAATCATTGAGAAACATAAGGTGTGTCTTAGTCTCCACAGGCCTATTCATGCGCCCTCTGAATGTGGCTTGTTTAGAACTGAAATTTGACGCATTCATGCCATCATTGGTAACATAAACAAACCCAATGGCGATCTCGCCTGTATCGCTGCAAGATAGAATTGACAATGTGACGTAAGCTCATCTAATAATGGTTGCATGTCTCACTCACCAAAAGGAAATCATAACATTGCTGTTACTTATGATTACTTACGAGGGGTTCGTGCAATGCATTTGTATACGAAGCTTTCGAAACTACTTTATGCGTACCTTTCAATAAAAGCGGAATTTGATAGTCTTACTTAAAACTTAAGCGGGAAATCATGTTAGCACTCGTATCAGAGTTTGGAAGCCCATTTCACAGGTGCATTATCATGTCGATAAGGTTTCGTAACTTCCAAAGACTAGATCACAAAGTTGTCAATACTATGAAAGAGTGGAATGAAACGAAAACTACTCCGTACAAGTGGCGCCTCATCTTGGGCCACCTCAGTCGAAACCTAAGGGCTAGAGATGCTTTATCATTAGCAAATTCTAGACAAGCTAACTAACATGTGATTGGGAAATATTTAGAGGAAAAAGCAGTAACTAATGTACCAGCAGCTGAGAGGCAAGCAGAGCGGTACGTGACAGCGCTACAAACGTATCGGACAATGTGAATGTCCTCGGGCGTTAAATTGTAAATTTTCAAATCCTCTCGCAATAGAAACTCCGTGCTATAGAAGAGATGCGGTGGATCACGATCGATTTCACAGAGGAAGCTTGCTGGAAAGCTCCTGAGGTCTCGTAGGGACGCTGGCCACACTCCGCCAAAGAGTTGGCCCCTTTCTGTGAGTAACTTTAAAATCTGCCGAACCAGCTCGCCCAGGTTTTCGCCGCTGACGAATTTCTCGAACCTATGAATTAGCAATGAAGTAGCACAAAATTTAATTCCCCTGGTGTGTCACCCTCCTCCATGTAATTCTCCCCTTTGAAATAGTCATCCGGTTACAGAATTAAAGATCAAATGATATGAAGAGCTATTAACCGCAAAGAGCTTAATTATTTTCATTTGTAAGCTTTTGAGTAAGAAAAACAGCGTTTTAGGTTTCAAATTAATATCTGGTATGACAGACTTAAGGGCTAATCGTTGTAATGCGTTTCAAATGAGGTTAAACGTCAGTACGTCGTTGCTCCTGACTGAAAACGATTAACCATACATGTAGGTAGGCAGAAAATTTTAAATCAAATTTTTCCATGTGGTTAATCTACTAATCGTTCGCTATTGAGTCGTCCGTACCAAATTTGTGAAATTTCTACGTCATTTTTTTGTGTTAGGTGGCCAGAAGTACACCTTACAAAGTGTGATGCATATACGAAGATTCTAAGAATATTAAAATAAGTTTATGACAAATACCATAAGCTGTTGTTAGAACATTGGATTGACACATTTTTCTGTAGTGGAAACAGTTACGCAACATTGGACTACTCCAGACTCATAAATCCACCCGAAATTCACCCCCCGCCAATATCGCTTTGCATTAAGAGAAGGTGAAGTAGAATTTATATGGCTCTTAACTCTCTTGACCCATTGGTCGCCCTTTAAAAAATAATTAAGATCTTCAGCGATCAGGAACAGAAAAATTAGACCTGTGTTAGTCTGTCAACGACGCTGATGACGATGCGCACCTTGAAACGGAATGAGAAGCTTACGTGTGTAAACCGGGTGCTGTTGAGATACGATCAAGTCTTTTATCGAACTCCGTTATGAATCTCTTCAAACAGCCTCCATCTCCAAAACCACCAAGCTCCATGTTTATCAGAACACTTTTGGCATCTTCATCGAACGTTTCATCGCGTCGAATGTTGGAAATTTTTTCCTGATAGGCAGCATTCACACCTGCATCTGTAATGCGCATGAACTTACTGCAAACATCCCTCCTCAGTTAGCTCTCAAGTACTAAGTTAATCCTTCAAAAATTCAGCACAACTAACTTTACTCAATAAAAAGCAATTCGCAGAAATTTAGACTCATGTAGAATTGGTAAGTGAATTAACTTCGAAATGCCAGCCGTTGTGTGCCATCTTCTAACTCTTATTATGCAAATCTGTCAATTTTACAGAATTGCAAACACGAAATAATGAATAGCACAGTTAAAGTAAGCACTACCCAACTTAAAGGGGCGGCACAAAACTCACTTAAGACGAAGGAAGCAGCACAATCAACTTCATCAACAGCACAAGCCTCAAGGACTGAAACACAATCATTGACGATAGCAATGCATTTTACCTCCACAGACTAGATATGCTGAGTTAGGAAAGATAACGGAGCACATGTACCTTCCTATCTAGATGTCTTTGAAACATACGAAGGATTTCTGCTCCACTGCGTTGGCGAAATTTGAAGCTCTTAGAGATAAAAAGCATTTCGGCAGAGTTTATGGCTGTATTGTTAATTGCAAAGGGGAGGCTTAAGCAGGCATGAATCAGTCGATTTGCCAGACCTCTACTTGTAAGAAATTCCTCTACAGTGGTTGCTAGGTGCTCAAACAACTTCGAACGTAATAAGCAGAGAAGACGTTACCTCACTGAAAGAGCAGCTCAAATACTGGTTCGGTAGCTTAAATGTAGCAATATCGACATGAGGTCGGTGGAATCGTGACGAAAATGTGACAATTGCCAATTTGTGCTCGGTACCAAGGAAATCCACAGCCAAATAGCGACCTCTCTCTGAATAAATTTTGCCAACTAATGATTGTAAACTAACCTAGACCGCTCGGAGTTCTTGAAACATGCGTGTTTAGCATCAGAAGGTCCACTTTGGTTTTATCGACATTGTTTAAGGATCTTGTGATTTCCACATTTAATGCTGCCATTATTTCTTCACAATCAACCTTCTTTATGAAAAATGGAGAACAAAAGCTTCGAACCTAATGAATCTTTATCAGTCTCGTAACACAAGAAACCATTTCATTTTTCATGAGGGGAATTGGACACCCTCTTATCTGCTCAACAATGGGCATTTCTATGCTACGTTTAAACATTAAGAAAGCGCTAAATCCCACATTCTACTGTCAGTCAGGTTGGGATCGCTATTTGAAAACCTGAATATTCAAATACTAGAACAATTTACTCAGATCCAGCGTGCCCAATCCACATACTCATTTCTGCTAAGATAAAACAACTAACTCCGAAACGCCAACTTGACTATGAACTTTATTGATACGTTATAACAAAACAGGCACAAAATCATGACCTACTACGGACAGCTAAAAACTGATTTGATGACATTTACGAAGCGGAACAAAGTATGCTAAGCAAACAAATTTTCGCGATGCTTCATTGCATGCACATGGCAAAAGCCTCAAACAAGGGTCTTAGGCAAGAGCGTCATAAGGCAATAAAAAGTTGCCCTACGTTTAAAAAGTCCAAACAGGTTTCGAACGCAGCAATATTAGCTAATGCTAAACCTCTGGCCTCTTAAGATGTCATGAGACGCCATGGTCATTCCTGAATTCTTCGTCAATGAACACCTAGACGAGGAGTGGTAAAATCTTCTGATATTGTTGAAGCCTAAAACGGCCTAGATGACTACATAGAAGCCAAATAAAGTGGGATACCTTGATAACAATGGGCAACATTTTTCATTTATTTCTTTAGACAAGAATTATTACGTAATTTTAATCCTTCAATTTACTCTTTATATTAAAAAGGAATTAGCAAGTATATTTCATAAATGGAGATATCCTACACTACCTTAACCATTTATTTTGCTTTATGATTGATGAAAACTTTAAAAGATAAATGCACTGCAAAAAATTTTGTGCCTAAAAAATAATTAAAACTGTAGTTATTTGTTCGCATCTTTATTTTAAAAGTTCTTAAAGGAATGCAAATAGTGTATTTCACGTTTGTCCCGCTGTTAAAGATGCGCGCCTTCTCTGAAGCGGGCAGATTTTGTCTTGGTCGCCTGTGCCCCTGTGGTATTGGGTCATTTACTTTATAACTCACTGAGTGCATCCAAATGAGCAGAATAGATGAGGTGTATGATTTGCTATCTGACTCTGTCAAGAAAGACCTCACTAGTACTGACAGAGGACCTTCTGAAGTATTCTGTTCCCTCTCATGTAGTTTGTAGTGCTTTGACCGACGGCCTATATCATTAATGCTGGTCGCCAATGGCGACCAGTTTGAGCGCAGTAAACTCATAAAAATTACCAATGTCTGGCGACCAGATTGGTTAAAGGAAGGCGTGCAAGTTGCTTCTGGAAAGCATTCCATTTTGTCTGCTTTTCCAAAGTACGATGCTTGTTTCAAGTATACATTTGTATTCATGTAGGAGGGCTGATCTCCCGGTTGTTAAAAGGAAGACGAGTTCCTGTCCTTTGTAAGTGTGATAACCAACATTACACTCTTAGGCCCGGTAAACTGATTCGATGTTTTCGGGATGAACACTACAATCCAAATGTTCACCATGTTTCGAAAAAGGGCATTATTGCTTCACCTACTTACAACATAGATGATTTAGACCAGGCTTGGGTGGTCACTGTCAATGAGGAAAGGGCGCGTCTTCAACAGGAGAAAATCCAGGATTGGATGCTCGAGGATGTTTTAGATGCAGCTGAGCAGATTTGTTTCGTAAAGTCCCGTCTTAATGCCTTGACGGACCAGGGCTTAAAAAACCTCGAGTATGATGAAGACGCCAAATGTGATATTTGCCAATCAGTGGGTTTCTGGTTTTTAAAACGATTCCGTAGTACAACGGGGAGGACGGAAACGAGTTGGTCTTTTGTGAAAAATGCAACGTCTGCGTGCATCAAGCCTGTTATGGTATTCCAAATTTACCTGATGGACCTTGGCATTGTCGACTGTGTGAGATGGGAGCACATTCAACTGCGAGGTGTGCGCTTTGCCCGAACAAAGGCGGTGCAATGAAACTCATAGAGTGGGTCACTCTCCACCCTCTTATTTGAGGTATATGAGATGCTTAGTAATCGATTCCTATTTCTTTTCCCTCTTAGCGATTACAGATCTTGGTGTCATGTGAGTTGTGCGTTGTGGGTCCCGGAGGTTTCCTTTCAAGACGTCGACTTGATGGAGCCCATCACTAACGTTAATGGCATACCACAGGCGAGGAAAAACTTGGTTTGTGTGCTCTGCAAAATTCATTACGGTGCGCCTATCCAGTGTTCTGTGAAGAAATGTAAAGTGGCCTTCCATGTAACGTGTGCTTTTCAGCATAACATGACCATGATACAGGAACTTAATGGATACGATGTTCGTCTTTTGGTGAGCTACCACCGCTTAACAACTACCCTGTGGTTTATACCTGAGTTATTATTTGGCATTGTATATGAGTTGGGACGACTTCTTTTGGGGTCGTCGTCAACATGGATGAATTGTTGTTGTTGTTCTTTATAAATAACTCATGCTTCCAACCTTCAAGGATGTAGTCCTATCGCTACTTATAGGGTCACTGTCCCAAGCACAGTAGTAAGGAGTATCAGTCCCGATTGGCACAACTTCGTTCTTTGAGAAAAGCGGGGGTTCAACAGGCTGACATGGATCCCAGTCCTATTCCCATTACCACTAATGCCTTCAACCCTTCGCCGTCAAAAAGTGACGCGTCACCGGACAAGTTTGCACCTGTTTTTGACCGGTAAATTTTTCACCTTTACGTACATTGCGCCGTCCAGACAATTTGATTATTTAGTTACACAACTATTTCTGTAGGAGTAGTTGAGCATTTTCCACCGATTATGGTGTAAGTCTATTGTAAATATACGACATCTTGTTGAGCAGACGCCACAGCAGTCACATTTTTTCACTATCTTGGACACATGAAGTTTGATTTTAAAGTCGGGCAGCATTAACTACCATCTTTTATTCATGATGTGGACTTATACTCGTCAAGAGAACGTTAAAAGTAAGCGTTTTATGTAATTTACAAATGCAGTTTTCTTGTCCCTCTGCCTACCGAAGTTAGGTCTTCAGGCCCGTTTACTTCCTTACTGAAGAAATTACCTGTCTGCATAGCTGATGACACAGCAGTCGTAGATCCGATTTTGCTTGAGTAAAAGTTTAATCAGGATGGCAATTTTCTCATCAGCAAGTTCGTTTGTTTACTATTCCTGACTTTAAACTTGGGACAATTGCTTTATGTTATAAAATCGATAGGAACTTCCTCTATGATCAAATGCTTTTCTTTAATCGTTGGAGAAACTGAAATACAGCGGTTTGGATCCAATTTGAGAGTACACCCGATTCTGAATCGTCTTGTAAAAGTCGCTGATTTTGTTAAACTTTTATAATTCCGTTATTCACAATGAGATGGCTACGATCTGCATTCCACTACTATTACTTAATCAAGATCCCGACATCCATTCAAGAGCATCGATTAAGCCACCACATACTCGTTGTTTATCCCAAGGTTTTTTATTTTCAGCACCAACGACCCCACCGCCAACTTTCATATGCATGTCACTCGTGACGAGGTTGTTGCTCTTCTACGACGATGGGCGCAGCAGAAGAACTTGAAGCGATCCAATAGTGCTGTTTCTTCTGATCAGAATCACCAAGTGCCCCTTGAAATTGTTGAGCAGCTGCTCACGTATTGGCGTCTCAAGCGACGCGCAAATTTTAACAAACCCCTCGTTATAGAGGTTCCTCAACGCTGGTTTACGGAATCACTGCCCGCTCCCGCCAACTTGCCCATTAGTTCCGGTGAGGTTGTGGAACGCTGCAAAGGTGTTCGCCTCAGCCTTGATCGCGCTCGCCTCATATGCGATATGGTGCTAAGCCGCGAAAAGAAGAAAACCAGTCTGGTCCGCACCATGAAGAGTATTTCACATGTTCAGCTTGACAGCGTGGTTGAGGACCCTGTAGCGGCCTGCGCGGATGAGGTGATAGCCAAGGCACATATTGGGTCTTCGGTGTATGATGCCACGAACTACCCGACGTCGGCTATTACCGAGAATAAGATGGTTGAGGGTACTGAGGCTAAACCAGCAGGTTATATAATGACGGGCAACCCAGTAGTGGATAGTCTCCCTCCAGACCAGCTTGTTGTCGATCCTATTATATTAACACGACTGCGGGCGTCATTTCTAAGGAAGAGGGGGAGACGAAGGCAACGACCTCTAAATGAGGGGCGAATGGGAGGAGAGGTGTACCGCCAACCAAAAATAAGTGAATTTTTGGTATCCCCTGTGAAACGGCGCGGAAGGCCACGAAAGGCCCTTACAGCGGTTCAAACAAACAGTGCCGTACAGTCAACAACAAGGATGCAGGACTCCAACGGCATCGAGACGGTCTTTGACCTGTCGTATGAAAGCCTACCTTAGACATGTTCCCTCCTGTCTCTGTGTATATAGTATACATGTACGTACTATCAATCGACTGTATATACTGTATTTCCATGACCACTACGGTGCTTGGGAATAAAGCGTCTGAATGCGCACGGACGTTTCATAACCCTGAAGGGAGCTGTGGGCTGGTGGTTGCATGCGCAACGCCAATTACACGAGATAGATGAGGCTGCAAAATCCAGGAAAACTTCCACAAGACATGGGTGGGATTCAGTACAAAACATTTATTAAAATATCACACTCAACTTTTCATAACCCTCTCCAGCTCTGCAACGCAATCACGAACTAGAATACGAGCAGAATGAATATTTTTCTTCAGCCTTTCAGCAGCGTTCTTGTTGTTAACGTAGGTAGGCTTTATATCTCTTCCCATTTCATCAATAACTTGCAGGAGATGTGCATACTTAGTCAGCCCGTCGACACACACCTGTTGATTTTGGATCATCTGCATGGAGGGATTGGGTTGCCCCGCCATATTAACGAATCCGAACTAACTATTAGGAGAACTAGGAAAGTCACAGGTCACCAATGGCGATTTGACATAAGTGGATCAGCAGAGATAGTTTAAACACTGTCGCAAAAGGTGATATCATTTATTTTAAAAACTTTAAAATAATTACATATATTTTAAGTCGTGTCACCTAATATGCGTAACGTATGCATGGGACTAAAAGTGGATATTTTAGTCCAGTTATTAAGCCAAAAGGTGGTGGAAATGAAATAATTTCTGGCATAATAAGTATCCCCTTAGATAGATTGTATTTAATGGCGTGCAGATTTGGTAGGGCTAGCTATGTGAAGTACATTTAACGTGTTTAAGGTACCTAGTTAACGGTGTCTGACGAGTACTTGGCTGTCCATTAGCAGACAAATGCGTGTCAACATAAATACGATCTAGACAGACCTTTGATTAATTCATATTAGCATTATATGTGCAAGTGCAGACTCATTCTCTAGAACAAGTTGGCCCATATATGCGTTTCTTCGAATTATTCTGTAGCTTTGTTTGGATTGATTCCGACTTTAAACCGATTTTCTATTAACGTGAGTGGTCCTGTTTTTCCTAAGCATTTCTGGTAATTAACGTTAATGATTTTGTATTTGTAAGGATTACTTTTGAATAAGCAAACTTTCAATAAATTTGGCTCGAACCTCGCTGCATTTCCCGTTCCAACTGCCTGTAGCAGTACGCAATGTTTCGTAAAGTGTTTTGCAAGAATTGGATCATCATTGTGATATAGCGTTTCGGTTGTGTTTCCGCGCCGTTTTGCTGCTCTATCGACGTTTATTCAAATAAATGCATTTGTTTGCTTTTAGTACCACGAAATAATGTTCCCACCTAATACGTATGAAAGTCAGGTTTCTCAATCATCATCGCTTTTTTCTCGATACCAAACGAATGTAGGTTCGTTGTAGGAAGAATGCTCTTCTACATTTATGAGCCTGCAGCAACCTATGTCTAATCTTCTGTAGGGGGATAAATTTGCATTTGGCAAAAATCCTAGGTCTGCCATCAGATCAACGCTTTCCCCGTCGAATTCGTGTGAAGCAATCGTGAGACCCAAAAACCTTGAAGTACGAAATTCGGGGTTACGTGTGTTTTCAGTGCCAGTTCGACGTGTTCGTGGTCTTACAGCAGCATTAAATAAGTTGGATCCGTTTCCGTTCATCTTTGAGACTGTTGGACCGATTGTTGAGTGTGAGACATCTTCTGACTGCTGCGTTATTAAATTTCTTCTTGAGGAGCAGACTGAGCGGTCGCATGGAGTGCAGCTGAAATGCCGATTTGAAGATATGGATGAAAATCGACCAGCGATCTCCAACGGGCAAATGTATAGGTAATGACATTATTTGTGTCTGTGAAGGAGAATTATGTCGCAAGTTTTGGAATTAAGCTTCGCCTAGTAATTTCAAATCGTTTGCTATATCTCTAGCGAAGCATATTGCATTTTTAGAGAATTTATGAGTCCCTTTCACTTATAGTTGTGAATGTACGTATGTTATCTAGGTGTGTCGGAAAGTTTTCCATGCATCACAACATCTTCCAGTGTTACTCCATCACCCCATGCAACGAGGCGGATCTGCAACTTATAGAGATATTTCAAATGCATTCAGACAACGTCATCGCCCAAATGTTGCTACAAAATTAAACTCCCACCTCCAAGTGCGCCATTTAAACACTCACACCATCTTTAGGATTCAATGTGTTCAAAGTGCTTTTCCCAAAAGCTTTGGATGAATTTATTCAAGATAACAGTCTAAAAGCCCAATGCTCTAGCAGGCAACAATCAGCAACAATTTCCATACCCGTAAATTGCAAATTAATTTATTTTAAATACGTCCCTACATTCCGGACTAATAGTATCACATAAGGAAAAGACCCGAAGCGTAAAGCTATAGAGTCAGGAATCGACTCAAACTCTTAAAACAGACCAGCGACAGTAGAGGCTGCTCAATTATTTACAAAATGTGTGAATTATGGAGGGTGGGCGGAAGGGGGGAGGGATAATTCAAGTGGGCAGGGCCTCTAGTTTGTCAAAGTCGACGGAGGAGAGTGGACGAAAATCTTCGTTCACGTCTTGACGCTTGACAAAGATGTTCACTGATGGCGCCGACTCAAGCCACTGTCGCAGCACAGCTTCCTCGAATGGACCCTCGATTTGCACATCTGCCTCCACCGTCTTGGCCCGCTTTACCAACCACTTTGTCGTTGGAATTACGCTTCCCTGCTTTTCCGCTGTCTCACCATCTTAGAGATAAAAAGACCTTTCAGAGCCAGGAATAGAGATATTATTTGCTAGTAAAGAGACCAAAAAGAACGTTAACTATAAAGCATTCATATTATACCTATGTTGTAGATTTACCCTAATCAAGGTAGTTGAATAATTGGGAGGTGACAAATACTGCAGAGGCGTGTTTATCTTGATAGTGTCAGGTCGGTTTATTGTTAGGTAAATTGGTGCAAAGGAAACAGTCCCGACTCCTTCAATTTGGTGATACTGCAGAAGAGACACTTACTGAAGGGATTATTCTGGAAGCCTGACAAAATCGAGTGTCACACAGCATGAATACGGGCTCATTATTGAAGGCAGGAGACTAAATAAGCCTTTGAGGAACTGAACGCTAGGTTAAACACTTGAAAGGTCGGACAATTAAAGAACGTGGAGCACAAACTATCGAGTTTTGCGTCTAAGGCTTGCGTCAAAGCAAACAAAAGAGAGTGGCGGGAAGAACAAGGTTCGTTCAAGCAAGAGAAACTAGCCGAAATCCACAAGCGCCCTCAGTGACAGACTCAACGAATATGTTCCCAGCGGGAAGCTTGTTTTATTACAGGGACAGGAAAGCTGAACAAATCACTAAGTTAATAGAACTCAAAAAGCCAAACCCTATTCTATGAAAAAATCAGATACAGCTTAATACTAACCGGTGACATGTTTTGAGGATACCAAGTCTCCAATAGCGTCGAAAGACTAGGTGCTTCATTCCAAAAAAACCTACCTAGTGGCTCTATACCCGCCTCACTATCAATTTCCGCGCCAAGAGCGTTCAGTTCGTTATCCTCGTTCCTCTGAGTCCGGGAAGCGACCAGATCCTCAATCACTTCTTTGGTTTTTTGGTAGATGTCGAAATCACCACTTCCCAGCAGATCATTGGCCAATTCGGTAAGATTCGCGAAGGCCTCAGCGTTTGCACTGTTTTGTAAAAAAATAAGACTTCAGGCACTTTGAGGTTCTTTGACACAGCGCTATGGCAAGCTCCAAAAACACGTTGCATTGTGAGCAAAAACAACTCCACAATTTCAGGTCAAAATTGAGCGCAGAAAATATAATATAGATTAAATAATTCAAAACTATTCTTAGGGTACGAGAACAAACACAAGATATTTCAAAAAAGTGATCGAGACGAATAAAGATCATTCAATAGGAATCAGAGAGCCTCAAAGTCTACCATCTTAACCGAAAAGAGCAAAGCTGAGGGCTATGGAAAACCAAAGCTAACTAGACTGATATGGTAGGACAAGTTAAGATGGATTCAATACAATGCACAGGTTAAGCAATGCCGGCAGATTTCTTGCCGTCAATCAAAAAGTGCGCACAAAAATTTAATTTCACAAAAAGGGCGCAAAATGACCCAGTGACAGGGTCATCAAGCAGTTCGGATGGTTCATAAGGAAACGTTTTGGAATCCACAAATTGTCCACCGCGACAGTACCTGAATAACTATGAATGCATACTGCGAAGCAAAAAGCAATTCTTAGGTTCGAAAAAATAAAATACGGTCTTTTCGAAGGACTTTCAAAATGTCAAGAATCTAGTACCGGAAATTAAACCCAAACCAAAATAGGGATTGCATAACAAAGCATTACCACTATCCTATCCCTTACCTTTAAAGTTCGCTAAAATAATACCGTCTGTCGCATGAACTCCGTGACCATCAAACTACTTACAATTACCAAAAAAAGAACCACAATTTCAACAATGTATGCAACAACCAACATACGCATCAGTCGGCGAAAGAGGCTTTATGGAAGTACCGGTGCTACCGTCCTTTCGGCGCACCCAGTTCCGTCTCTGAGCATTGGAGGAGGCGGCGGGACGCTTCGGACCGAGGCGGCGAAGGGCGCGCAGCACCGTTTCCCCAGACCGAAGAAGGCAGGCAGCGCGGCGATAAAGCTCAGTCTGCTGGTCCACAGTTACTTCTGGTAACGCTTCCTCCTCGACCATTGTTGTTGTCTTTGGTACGCCACCGTCACCGACACCCGCTTGCTCGTTTCGGCGTACCTCGTTCCAATCGACGTCTTCCAGCCAATTGTCACCTACATCATTGGTCTGGAAATGAAAGTGGGCGACCTAGATTATTAAGCATAAGTACTGAACAAGTAAAAACCGTATTGATCAAGGATTAAGAAATGTCAAGAAACAGAATAACCTAATTATGAAGGAAAAAATATAGACGATATGGCTGGGCAGTGGCAAGTTAACGGTAAACAACAGTCAGCTAGTAATGCAATAGACCTGAGGATTAAATGAAAAAGGAGGCTGTGTCGTCTGAATAGTATTTTTAGGCAGAGTAATGCTTACTCCTACACATTAACGACCTCCTTTGGGAAACAGGCAACAAAAATATTTGTGCTAACAGCTTGGATAACAGCTAAAATCAATTTCATTTATATCGACGAGACTGTTTGGGAAAGGTCAACTGGACATGGGCATTAAGGACCAAGAGAGAAATTGAAATTAGGCATCCGATGCGACAGAGAAATTTGTGGTCAAGGTAATCAGTGGGTGACGGTGGCAGTACTAATCAATAGACAATCACAACTTGAACTGATAAATATCAAATATAAACGCTGCGAATCCTTTCCTATCTTAACAGTGATGCCGGTCGCATAAAAGACTTCTACCCAACATTGATAAACGAGACCATGCACGCAGAACAAAAAATAGCTTCTGGTGTTGACGAACTGAGTAGAGAGAATGTTTACCGTAAGGTCACATGTGATCTGATGGCAGATACACGGGAAATCTCAAATAGTCAAATAAAAATAAAACGATGCGATGATTAACAAACCATGCTTCAGATTAAGAAGTATTCAGTCAGCTGCTGCTATCTGGCTGGTAAATAAAACCAAAGGGCAATAACCTCCAGTTTAATACAACTTGTTTCGCATGCACTTTCGACAACTTAAAACCCAACAGCACAAGAATCTGCAACAACGGAACTCACTCGTTTAAAAATAAATGTTCCATTCGCATCGAAATGACCCTCCTCCTCCAACTCTTCACGCATATTGAAAGGGGTTATAACAATATCGCTATCGAAGCCAATTGTTCCAGGCTCTTGACCAACTGTAGGCGAAAATGCAAATATCTTTAAGAGTCAGAAGCCGACGAATCAAAAATTTGATACTTCAAACATAGCAATAATAATAAACAGCCACAAATTATTCGAAGGCAAAAGGCACCTTGTAGCTCTGCCTCGTCCATTCGCCCACCCTCCTCGTCCTCACTGATTTCTTCGTCACTTTCCAATGTGTTCCTTGAAATTTTCTCCTTCTCAGGCCGACCATCCTCTTCGCCCAAATGACCTGCACGACGTTTCACACTCGCCATTGAGACCGCAGACGCTCTTTCGGATATTTGTGCTGCGCGGGTAATCTTTGGAAATTCAAACTTAGCACTTGCGAAACTGTAAAAATACAGCTGTATGCCATGAATCGATTAATACAAGGTTGGACTCAGGTGTCAGATTCTTTAATATATTTGTTAATGCGAAATAGCTCTCGTAAGCTCTTTTTCAACACAAAAGTTACCGCTGTCATACATTGCCCTCTGCCTGCCTTTTTAACTCCAACCCAATGCTTATAATTACGCTAAAGCAAGAATTATTACCATTTTGACTGATGTGGTTTCCCTTAATGAAAACCGTTTTGCAAAGTAGTTTAACCTTCGCACTCACTTCTTCAGCGTTAGCCTTATTGGGCTTTGCAAGTATGATTTCGTCCGATCAGCCGGCTTGTGTCACCCTAGAAACCAGGTAGTCTGTCTGGTTTACACCTATTTTAAAGTATAGTCAAGGGTCCATAGTCATTGAGCTCTACTGGAAGCATGCGCCACGGACGTGTAGAAACTTCGTGGAGCTGACCAAGCGTGAATATTACAATGGAGTTCCTTTTCATCGTGTTATTCGAGATTTTATGATTCAGGGAGGGGACCCGACAGGTACTGGGCGTGGAGGTGCCTCGATATACGGACGATATTTTGAAGATGAGATCAGTGCAGAGTTGAAGCACACAGGTGAGGCCTGTTACAATTTCTGAATTTTTATTAGGGGCTGGGATAATTTCAATGGCAAACTCTGGCCCAAACACAAATGGTAGTCAGTTTTTTATTACCCTAGCTCCGACTCAATGGCTTGATGGTAAGCACACAATATTCGGTCGTGTGAAGTCGGGAATGCAGGTTATCAGGCGCCTAGGCATGATTGAGACCGACCCGAACGACAGGCCTGTAGAACCGATTGTGATTAATCGGGCCTACCTTACCCCTGTTTCATAGTTTCTCCCTGTTCTCCTATGTATATACTATTATTACTAAAATGCACATTTCTCTAACCGGTGAAATACGCCGTCCTTTTTGCCTTCACTTTGGTGTCACTATTGACAGCAAATATGCATTTTAAAGAGCCTCATTAGCACTATCAGTCCACTCGGATGTCCGGATGGCTTTGATCATGTATTGTCTTACACCAGTTTTTAAATAGTAATTCAGCAATCTGATCTTCTGAATTAGTCGTTTTGAACTAATTTTGGGTACTTGTTCTACCTTTCCGTGGATGGCTGTGGTATCGAGTTTAGAGGATTTTCAGTTGTTCCTGTCCGGTTGGCGAATGAGCGGACAGTCTTACTGTAGGTCCCTGCTGATTCGAAACGGCATATTACGGTAGGGTCAGAACGTGGAGCTTTTGTGTGAAGTCGTCTTGGTGCGAAGCCGCACTAGGACTTGTTTACATCTTAAAAAGAACATGGTAGAATGCCATTATAGAAGTATGTGATTTGAAGTGGAGTAGATGGAGGATTGAGTGGAGTGTCGGATTTAATGATACCACGCAGACAGCGGGGAGGCACTCAACTTTCAAAAGGTTAATCGATATGCCAGCCAGAGGGAATTTGACCGCAGCACGTTCCACGCCAGCGTTCAGGTTCTTAAGACTTTGTATAAGCTAATTTTATTCCCCATAACTGCCGTTCATAAATGAATGCAAACTAGTTATTGAGTCCAATGTTGAGCATGCAACAGTTTCTACCACAAATAAGTATTTGTTTCATACCACGTCAGAGTTGAAGCCAGAAGAGTCCAAAATGGACAGGCAGCTGGACGTTCTGCTGCAGTTCATCAGTAAGCGAACGGACACGTACCTCAAACGGCTGGAGGAGTTGGTTGCTATTCCAAGCATCTCTGAGGATATTAGTCACCGATTGGATGTCCTAAAGGCTCTGCGCTGGTGTGGAATCAGACTAAAAAAGTAGGAATATATTTAGCATAGTAAAATATTTATGCAGGATGACGTTGAGAACGTAAAGTTGGCTTTGGTACTGCGATGAACAAAGATTGACTTTGGTCTCATTTATTTGATGGAATCATTTCACAACATAGTTGCTAGTGTGGTGTTTATCAGACAGTGATTCGTACGAAAACAGTTGGATCTATTTCAAAGGAGTCGTCAAAACGCATGACTCAACTTTTAGTTAAACTTGTTACTCTTTAAGTAGGACACAGTAGCAAGTAGTTAAATGGTGTTCCACTGTCTATGGAGGGCAGCAGTGAATAAGCTTTGTGTGTAAATAGTTGTGGCGAATGACTGGAAAAGCGAACTAAGCAGAAAAGTAAATACTTACACCCAAAGATGCTGACTTTCTTCCGCATTTGAAATTTCGAGACTTGAGAGCAATCCGATAGTGTCTATTTTTATTGCTAAATCATTCCACCAATGTAGAGGTACTTTCCACAGACGGTATCTAGCGCAAATTTTATCTCTTAGAGCATCTTTAAAAATACGATTTTGCACATTCATCTCTCTCTCCAAAGTTGTCAGATGGGAGACGCCTGTACCGCTTGAAGTGTACGGAGGCCGTAGGCTCCAATTTCTGGGAATGCTTGCAGTCTCTGAATCTAAAAAGATCCAGCTGTTCTAGAAACAAGCATCTCGGTTGGCACTCAAGGCACAACACTGAATTTTTCGTAGTTTGTTTAGTACGATTTACCATCATTGGAGTTCGTTTGATATTTTCCGATTGAACTCTGGAATTATAAGCGAGTTTGTGGATTGAACATAGCAGTTTTAAGAAACTGGTAGAGATCAGGATGTTTTAAGCGTTTGAAATCGCCTTTTATATAAAGCACTAGGTTATAGTGAATGCAACGAGTTTCAACCATGAATATGGTAAAATATGTTACCACCAGTCAGAATACATCTTCCAGGCAATTCCCAAAGGAGCACTGTGAGTCCAGATGAGGCTTAATATTTTGAACACTGCCCCACGAAGCTTACATGCGAAAATGCCAATGCGCAGCAGTCACAGCATAGCTAAGAGTGTTGGCAACTGTGGATTCTGTGGGGCGTATGAAACTACTTTGCCTCAGAACAAAATTTGTTACCTATCTGGATACTTCATTCTCTTGACACAAGCGATCTGAAAGGGTATCGGGAACAAAGGGTTCCTGTTTACTGCCTTAAGAGCTTTACAATCATTCACTTCTTCGTTGAATGTCTCGAACATTGGCTGCACAAGTGTGTGGAAGTGCATACATCTGGTTTTTGGCGGCGCTCCTACTACCGCAGGAACTTCTGAGCCTGTTAATGCGAGTTCAATTTACCCTCTACCTGTTCCGTTACCATAAGATGAGAAATGTAGCAATTTACAGGATTTAGGGCGATTTGCTTCTGATACAGCATGAATAGTGAAATCTTCCACGATTTGTGTAAGATATTTAAATGCTGAATAAGATATGACTTTTTGACCACAGCATGGGCTTTGAGACTTGCTATCGCAAAGTTGGCGACGAAGATATCTATGAAGGAGAGTCGTTGCCGCTGCATCCCACGGAAAGGGTACCGCTACCGTTCGTGTTGTGCGCCAGTCTGGGCTACGATCTCACCAAACGCACTCTTCTCATCTATGGTCACGTCGACGTGAAAGCCGTGGCACCGCAGGACGTCTGGGCCACGGATCCGTTCAAGCTCACAATTATTGAAGGCCGCATGCATGGGCGGGGCGTGGCCGATGACAAGGGGCCCCTTCTGGGCTGGATTAACGCCATTGAGGCCTATATGGCAAGTCCTATCTCCAATATGTCAATTCATTTTCTTAAAATTAATTCACAAAATCACTAAATCTTAACAACTTTTAAGGAGAGATTCAAAAATATAGCTGTGTTGCGAAGATTTCAGACCATAAGGAAATATACACTTCACATATAAGAAACACTTCAAAATGAACAAGCTGAATGCACTTTGTGCGGACTAAAGCGTGTACTTGATGGAACCAATTCGTCAACCTTAAATTATTGCAAACGTCCCAATCGTAAAGTCGCAATAACTACAAAAATTCCTTTGAAAATAAGCTCAAATCCTGAGACAATAAAAACCTTGCTTTCTTACCCAAAATCTCATGTCTCAATGAGGACTCCATTCATGAAGTTATCACGTTTTATTTGAGCATTCTACCTCCCCACTCAAAAGCCTTTTCGTAGCATGAAGAAGGCTTTAGAAGATCGGATAAACCCTTTCTTCATTGGGTTAATTTGTTTGATAGCCGTCCACTGTCGATTTAGAATTTTTAATGCAGGACCACAAACAGGTTACCTGTTCTTCGCAAGTAGCCACGAACTCTCATTGTCGTAAGTCATGCTTACACATTCACACTGAATCAGTATATTTCCTGTTTTCAATTTCTACAAAAATACGACACAAACCCCTTCTAGTTACCTCAGTTCCCGGCTTAAAATGCGAAAATAGTTGACAGACCAATTAGGTTACTATTCAAATAACTCCACGATTAGAGTTCGAATATTTTAACTTTGCTAATGAGGTAATAATTACTTTAAAATCATTCAACAAATTGTCAGCCACTTTTCCTTTGGTTTGGAGGCGATCGAAGTGATGCTCCCACCGGACATTAGCACTAATTTAGGGTGGAAGAATTCAACATTTATTCCAATGGATAGCTGACAAAGTCTCTAGTGCGAGCACACATTTTGGATGTTTATGGAAGAGAAGAGCTGTCTTACTGAGCTCTTGTAGCTAGGTGCTTCAAAAGCAAGTTGAGATAGGTGAAATGGAAAATCTAGAACTGAGAGCATTGATTCCTGTCATAAAACCTGAAAGTTTGGAAATATGTACATAAAATTGGTGTGAGTGAAAGTCCAAATGCTACTTTAGGATTTTTCACAATTTGAGTCATTTTAGTCAGGTTTGTTGGCTGCAAGCATAAACTTGTCGGTTCTTTCCAAGCAGCATGAATGTAGTTTTCTCTAGCACCTTCACAACAACACAACCCGTCACCATACAGTTAACCTTTGATACCTTCAGCAATGTAACATGGAGGTTCCGGTGAATGTGCGGTTTCTAATAGAAGGTGGGGAAGAAACGGGATCGGAGGGTCTTCCTGAGTTACTGCAGGAGATGAAAAAGGATTTCTTGAAGGTGAGCGTCATTTTGATGTATTGTGAGCACGGCTATAATGTGTTTACTTCCTGCTAAATTGCCGAATTTGTAAATTTTTTGGTAGACCACATTAAACTAGCGTACTGTAGGAGAGAGTGCTTAATTAAGATGCATCCCAAATTCCGAGTCGGGCTGAGTGAAGTAAATCGCGGAGACAGTTTTGATTGTAGTGCCGGTTACTTTTTAATACTATACTACCAAGAGCGGAACCAGGTGCCCTCATTAGAGTTTTTCTGGTGGTGATGAGGGCTAAGCAAATTGTAGAGAGGCTTAAATATCTCATGACTGTTTTGGACATACTTTAATCGAGCACTCACTCGCATTCCATAAAGTCCAAAACGTAGATTTCAGTGGTAAAGCACTCTCGCTCTTCCCTCAAATAAAGCTGGGAATTTTCACAAACCCACACAACTTTTGTTTGGCTACTTTTGTTTTCTATGCACCCACAATGAGATGACCATCAACTCGGCTCTTTTTTGTTACAATCGCAATATTAGACTTGGATGTAAGTGAAATGTAGTCACTTGAATAGCACCCCTTCTTCATGCCAGTTGGCGCTCCAGCTCAAGTCAAGACCAGCGATAGATCAACATCGAATTGAGCACATCTCTGCCAGACATAGAGTATATCCCGTTTCATCCTTTGATGTGCACTGGTTGATAACTTTTTTTGCAATTTTGCATTTTTGGAAAAAGAAAGCTTGCAACAGTATTGAATGAAACGGCTGTATGCATTTGTAAGTGTTATAACTGATAGGTTTTAAAATAGTCCCTCGTTTAACGCTTTTGGATTCTACTTCACCGTTCATACCAAACGTATTTGGTGGGACCTCACATTAATACACATTCAAAGTAAAACTGATGTGCAAGGTACGGAAACAGGCACAAATGCTCGTAAAGCCGTGAACCAAAGTTACGCTTTGAGGTAGTAATGCGGCTCAATTCCAACCTCTGGTACCTAATCTACATTGAACCAGCCTTCTAGCACTAAATATTTAGTTTCCTTTACTTTATTGCTCCCTTATTGATTACTCCGATAAAATGGGTTCATTTTTATCCTTGTTGCTGTAGGCATTTTAATTTACCTTCAATTTTAGGATGTCGACTATGTAGCGATTTCAGACAGTCACTGGTTGAACACGAATACACCTTGTCTAACCTATGGCCTTCGTGGAGTCGTCTACTTCTACGTCTATGTCGAAGGCTCAAAACGCGATCTCCACTCTGGCTCCCACGGTGGTGTAATTCAGGAGCCGTTAATAGACCTGCAGGCTCTAATGAGCTCCCTTGTCAGTGAGAATGGAAAAATTCTAGTTCCAGGCATCTATGACTGTGTGAGGCGGCCAGACAAAGCGGAACTTGAGTACGTCTCTGATACCCTTCTTGCTGCCTGCCATTTTTAGTTCCAGCTACTGTGAAACATTCCTCTGCTTTGAAGGCGTTTTGAGCAACTTGACTTCGATCCAGTTACCTATATCAACCAAATACAGACTACGGCACTATACGCCAGAGATAAAGTGGAGATTCTGAGAAGAAGATGGTTGTTGCCATCAGTTGAATTTCATGGAATTGAAAAGTCTTTCGACAAAATGGGTGCTCCGACACTTATACCCAAAGAGGTAAGTGTGCCGAAACAGAAGTCGCTGATTTTTCGACACCGATTTGATGCTCAGCCCATAGGTCACTCTGAAAGTCACGTATGTTTATCGTTTGGTATGTTTAGGCCCAGTTTTAATGACAAAATTATTAAGCGCCCACAGCCAATTTTTCTGTTGTTTTTATGCATTAGGGAGGATTCAGTGATGCGTACATCCACTCTAGCTTACAACCTAATAATAAACAATTGCCGACGTTCATTAATGGCTACACTAACTGAGAACCAACTGGAGTTAAGCTGCATAAAACCAAAGTATAGAGTTAAAAAAATTAGTTTTCAGGCTTTTGAAGACATCTACCCCATTGTTAGAAGGTCGTAAGGTAAGAAATAGGTTTGCATCAAAAATTGGAACTAGCCACTTTTATGTAGCGTCCTGAATTTTTCCTGAAGGCATGCCATGTAGCAGTACTTGGACAGAGTATGCGGCACTGAGGTTTGGAAGACCATTCTAAATCCTCCACTTTTTTCCAACTGTCTACTGCTTTCAGCTATAAGTTAGGCAAGACTTCATAGGTCAAAAATTTTCACAAGCTTTATAAGTTATACATATAGTCAGTGCAGATGGAAGTTATTCCTTTTAGTCCATTCCTCAAGACTGACCAAAATTGATTGCCGGTTGGCTGTAGAATAGGGGTAGGAGAGAAGCTGCAAGATGGCTAACGCAGTTCCTGACCAATAGCGCGCCAACTCTTCCAATAAAGCATGCAACTTAAACAAATCCTACTACTTCTTGTGCTCCCTATTTGCAGGTTATGGGAAAATTTTCGCTTCGCCTAGTACCAGATCAAAATCCACGATTTCTGGCGAGCAGAGTAAGGTGCTACTTGAAGGAGGTGCACTCACGTCGATGTAGCGGCAATAAATTGACAGTCAAGACTTTCAGCGATGGTCGGCCATTTCTCGCTGACCAGTCATGCCCAAACTATCGCGCTGCCTACGAGGCAATAAAGTTCGTCTGGGAGAAAGAACCTGATCTCATTCGTGATGGCGCCACCATCTCTATGGCCGCAGTTCTCGAAGTGAGTCAAATCACGTTTTGAGGATTGAAAGGACTTAAAATTTAGCATTCTGTCCCTGTTGAGGAAGTTAGTGGATGAACGTCTCTGGTATGGGAGGATTTGGTAGTAAAAATGAAGAAACAAAGTCCTACTAGAAGAAATGGGTTGCGTACGAAGGCGAAATATCAACTTGGTAATCAAAGTCAGTTGAAATTAAATAAGCAGCATTGTGGTTTCGTGATCACACCCAAGGTGCACTTGTTGCAATGTTTTTGCTCGATTGGAATGGTGGCTTTAAATTTATTGCTGTCATTATTAAACTTCAGTCTCACTTCATTTCTCCCAGTTACAAAATGTATTTAGTCACAATTTAGCAACATGCAAAACTTTTTAGGTGATTTCCTCGGTTTTCCAAGCTTGTTGACTTTTCTTGATGCCCAATAAGTGAGCTGTCATCGGAACACTGGATTTCCTAACATCTCATAATCATGTCACATGATTTAACCTTCCACGAAATTTGTTGATAATCCTTATAGAATTTCGTTCTGTCCATGCTGTGAGACTGGGATTACTGTAATCAAACTTGTTAAACTTTTCCAATGCAAATCCAAAGTCGGTTTAGAGGACTGGATGAATCGGCTTGATGCAGGTGCCATAAACACTTAAAGAACCTGATTTGGGCTTTCAACCGGTTCTGTACTAACCAAACTTTTGCATCACAGAAATCGTGCTGCCTCTTCAAAACATACCTTTGGAGATCTGCGAGTGGTTGTCTTCGCGGCATTTGAACTGCTTATTAAGGCGCCTTGAGAGAAACGAGTTAAAAATAGGTTCATACTAAGCATGTAGAGTGATGCGTAATTCAACAGTAAAGATGGCTTAAGGAGATTTCTATGCCAACTAAGTGTGCTGAGTGGTAGAGGACGAAAAAACCCATCGATTGATGCGGCACTGACTTAAAGACCCGTACCTTGCAGTGCGCTAGAGGACAATCAAGACAAAAGGGTGGCTTGTCATTAGGCAAATCAGTTGACAAAACAAGTAACGCAATTTAATGTGACCCCTCAAAAACAATTCCCGTTCGCTTTGATTCCTTTGGGTTCGTCGTCATGGTGCAATTCTAAACGAGTCTGCTCCTCCGCTTAATCTTGTTGTATGGATTAGGAGTTTCAGAGACAACCAGTCACCATTGAAATGTGGATTCTCGGTGCAGTGTCCAAATTTTCATCATCTTCGTGGTGTTGTCCAACATTGTTTCAGCAAAAACACGAATTAGGCTAATTACTACCGAAAAATGTTTGTTGTAGTTGAACTTGGTCAATCGTTTCTCCAAGTAATTTGGAAGGCTGTAATAAGGTTTAGCAACGAGTTTACGTCAGCATTTCTAACACGCAGTCGCTTTCATGAATGGTGTAACTGATATGCTCAGCGTTTCATAGCCTTTTGGTCAACTTCCCTCTATTATTAGGAGGCTACAAACCGTGACGTAGTGCTAATTCCAATCAGCGAAAACCAGGATTTCATTCACAATGGACTTGAGTGGATGACAGTGCGCAACTATATCAATGGCATCAAGGTATTCGCTACATACCTACACAAACTGCGCTGCCTCGGCCTAGGCGATCCAAAGGACGAATCGGGTAGGCAGGGTCTGCGTCTGAAGTGGCGCAAATCCCTCTGGTAGACGCTTTCTTTCAAAACCCATCCGCAACACAAAAGAATCATACATCTCCTTCCCCGTATTTACTTAATTTCCCTTTTTACGCTCTTCCTCCCCGTGTTTGTGTAGGAAGCAAGATCAATCGCTTGATCTTTCCCTTTGATGACTCCATGCTTTCAACGTCCAAAACATTCATTTGGAAAGTTGATACTTCCCATTTTGACCATTAAAAGTTTTGTTGGGAACGTGGATTAAGCTGAGTTTGTTGGGATTAAGGAAGACTCAAGGCCTCGTTAACTCCTTTACGCGCTCCAATGATTCCGACTCGAATTTAACCTTAACAAGTGTTTTGAATTCCAACGAGTTTTAATTCCGGGTATAGCAGGAAGGAGCTCATGCACCTTGTTAGGAGAACTCGTGGTGGCGGTTACCCAGCCAATGCAGTTGTGCCTTCCTAAGGTGTAGCACTAGGCGAAAAATTAGGCATAATGCCTGCAAACACTGACCGCGTTAGCGCACTGAAAAAAAATTCAAATTCCAAGGTTACTATGCGATTAACTTAGTTTGGGTGAATAAATTACTTGGTTTTAATTTTTAGTTTAAATATGTGTAATGTTATTGCTCCTGACCGAGGATGGTACAATTTAGTTTTTATAGGACTTCTGTGTTTTTCCCGGCCTTAAGACCGAGATCGGCAGATCCTCACTGTTACATGGTGCATATCAAATCGTTGAGCTGTGCCATTTAACTGGCTCAAAAGCCACAACACGCAACTTCGGTGTGTCTTCAAGGTGGTCACATATTGTCATGAATGCTCCACATTTCGCACGGGCCTTTTACAATTTATCTTGATGGGAGTCGCACCAATTGCACCTTAGTGAAAATCCTTGTGGAGGTTTGTCTTCGACATTTGTTGCTGCCTTCCTGTGGAGACTAACTTGCCTTAAAATTTTCGAAGTCTACAACCACAGCTCACGTTGTCACAGTTTTACTAAGCATTCTCAGCACAGAAGATGACTATGACTGTGCTTAGAGGTGCAAGTGAATGCTACAGGCCCCAAGGCTCTCTTGAAGACTAAGATCACAGTCGGGCAATGTTGTCATTTAGGAAGGGTGTGATAACATGACATCATTCGAAGGATAAGCCGCATGTCGCAGGGAGTTAGAGGGGTCAACCTCCAAAATAGAGGGGTAAGCAATTAAAATGAAGCCTTTCATATACGAAATTTATTTTAGCGGTTTATAATAAAACGGAACCCTAAAGGACTTCTTAATATCAGATGGTGCAAATCTGCATTCAGAAGCTGAATGGAACCGACGTTGTTTGCACAACACTGCTTACAGCAACTACTTACGGCTTTTCTTTTGGGATTCAAGCTGAGATAAATGGGACATTACAAAACGATCTGCGCATTTGTTAACTTTGCACTACTTCTTGTTCACCCATGAAATGGATGAAACTTGAGATTGTTGAGAAAAGTCTAAAATAACATTTTGTAGTTTAAAAATATTGCCCAGGTATTGACGAAACAGAAATTATGTTCTTAGGGCGTGAGGCCCTCAGTGCTGTTAGCCCATTTGTACTTTAATTTTTACTACACCCTTGTCGTTAAATTTTTCAGTATAAATCTCTTTGAATGGCGCTCCTTCTTCCTGTTACTGCACCTAATGCTAGCCCTGGCCTTCACGTTTCATTTTTGCAAATGCGACATTGATCGTGTCGGAGCTTCCACCCCATCCACTTAGGTCGAGCTACGGCCAAAGACCTGTCCAATAGCTAAGTAGCGCTTTTCCCATTGGTTGCCGACTAGCTGCGCTATGGAGCAGCTCTCGAGATGTCTCAATGATAATGTAAGTGTTCTTGAAGGTAGGTAGTTCAGTGGAACGGTAAACTTTTGTGAGCCAGTAACACTTTTACCATATTTTACACTTCTTTCTGCCTTATTAGTTTTTATGTCTCTAGGAGTCGGACGATGAATTCCATGCGAAGAAATAGCCAGTAAAATGGGGGAGGGAAATCAGATTTAGAGCATTTGCTCAGAGTACATTAAGTAAGAATGAGCAACATTTCCAATGGTGGAGTAAAATGGGGGAAATGTGGGTCGATTCCACTCAGAAGAGTTCTAATATCGGTGACTCATTGTTTATTGTATTTTGCATTTTCTTTTTGTATTTATTAAGAACTTCTGAAGTAGAAAACTAGCGTTTCGGTTGCTAATTTATTCTTTCTGGTGAAATAACAAAACATAGTTACTTTGTTAAAATAGTGTTTACTAATAGGATTCTGCACTCCATAAAATCTCCGGTAAGATGCTAAACGCTTATTTAATTTAACTACTTTTAACACGCCAGTGGATGTCCACTGTCATTGGTATGAATTGAAACGACATCAAGAAGTTCACGCATCTCAACGTCCCCACGGCACAGTCACAACAGTTAACTTTGGAACGTAACGATTTAGCATAAACTATAGGCAGCACATTTTCCCAACCTCAAATGCCAGCAAGTTCATTTTCTCTGTGAGTGGCAGATCTCAACTACAGTTCTTCCATTGATTTTTAACTACTCAAAGCTATGTTCAAAAATGGAATGTCAAAGTAGAGGACATTTTACACACATAACACGGCAACCAAGCCTGCTTTCATAAAGCTGCTCAAATTCAAGTCTTTCGGTTCAGTTCCAAATGCAAAGACGTTTGGTATGCACATTCTAGGAAAGGGAGTACTGCGAATATGTGCACAGATGTATAGCTTCATGGTGGCTACGTCAGCAAAGTAAGGCGTAGGTTTAAACAAAGGAGGGATTGACGTAGGTAGCGGTCGAAGTTACATTTACGAGCAGTCTAAAATAGATTTTCGCAAATTTTGCGTAGTGGGACCTGAATTTGGGATTTAAAAATGACCTGACAGACCTGAACTGGTCCGTGGGAGATGGCGAAATCGGTAGAACTTTTTGACAAAATTTGCGAGCAGACCTGACAATTGCTACGGGGTCGATTTAAACCACTCGCAACATTTCAGGTTCCCTAAATATGGGTCCAAAGAGTCTCCCATGTTTCGAACCGTGCAGAATTCAATTACCGATTACTACATTTTGCATGCTTCTTTATTACTTTTATCCGCTTGAATTGAGTAGCACCAGCGAGTACATTTGCAACATCGTTCTACTTGGGGCTTTATTTTTCAAGAATAATGTCATGTCGTACCGGTGATGCTACTTTTGTGTCTACTTAAAAGCGCAGCTTAGTTGCGCTTTGGATGGCTGCTGGCATGCAGCAACAGAAGTGGTCTGTTGATTCTAGGCAATGGATGCAGCTTTGTGAATCGTTTCATTTGATAAACCATTCGCCTGTATCTTTAAAGTTTCAAATTAACCTAACCCAAGGGATAAGAGGTGGGACAAGTTATAAGGAGCGACTTTTGTCGTTGCGGCCACTGTTTGTCATTTACATGCATTTTTAAGTAATTACTGGTTAATGTTCCTCTACAAGTGGAACAATTTGTTATCAACTGAGCATGAACCCTAAATCCAGTTATTTTTAGATGATATGCATGCAAACATAATGGCGACAAGCATAGATTCGGTTGCTCGCACACGAGAGAAGGAGAAATTCGCAGAACTTCTGACTAGCAACAAAGGCGCCACCTCCCCCAACGACCGTGACAAGGTAAAGTTGCGCATAAATTCACAGCTGCAAATCTACGCGATGGTTATTTTTTGTGAAGGATTTTAAGTCGTTTCGATATAAGAGGGGGATAGAAGCAATAGTATCTTCACGGAGGTATTTGCAATAGGTCGGTGGGATTTTGTTAAGGTATTTTGTTTCATTTAGGATGGTAACAGCCTGACTCATTTGGCAGCTTTACACGGAAACGTTCCATTACTTTGTTTCCTCTTGGAAAACGACATAATTGAAATGGAGGCGCGTAACGCAGTGAGTGGCTTTAAATGCGTTTCTGCAAGTTTTAAGCATAAAATCATAAGTTATGCTTGAGATTGTAAAAATCAGTGATAAGGAAATGAAATCATTAAAGCTGTGTGGTTTAAATTGGACTAATGCATCTCATTTTCTAGCTCAACCAAACACCCCTGTTCTTTGCTGTCCTCTCCAGCTCCATTGAAACGGTGCGACTTTTCCTCGAGGCCGGAGCCTCATTCGACGTTGCAGATGCTGTGAGCACAAAAGTGTACTTTCATTTCCGCTGTCCTTTTCCGATCACTATAACTTTCGTCATCATAGAAGACCCTGTAAACTGTGCTAGGCTGAGGTAACCCTTTCGTCACTGTGGCCTCTCTTCCATCCATCACTCATAGGACGTTAAGTAATATGGACAAAACCTCCTAAAACCGATTCATAGCTTGTTATTTTATGCTTATACAGGTTTGAGAAAAATTGACCTGAATTTGAATAGAAAAACATTCAAAGTTATTGGGAATTCTCTGCCTTCACTGTATTACTTTTACATACTGAAGACGTTAAAGGAGGATGTATTTCCTCTTTAGAATGGCGAAACGGTTGTTCATATTTCGGCAAAGGTTAACAATCTCGATATAACTGAGTTCATCTCCACAGTTGGTACCAACTTGAATTGTGTAAATGCTGTAAGTGACGATTAAGGATATTTCTTTTCTTTTAATCTTTCTGTTCGGGTTGGACATCCATCGTTTTGTTTCGTTGATTTTGATTTTCTGATAGTTATGGGACAAGACAATGAGTGGCAATAGGATGCATGAAGCATGATGCCTCTTAGTTGATGAAACTCATCAGATTTTTACACACGTCTTCATTTTTAGATGGGCGAGTCAGCACTACACGTCGCGTGCAGGTTGAATAACCTCAGCAGTGTAATAGCACTTTCTGCGGCCGGTGTTAATCCAAACACTATTTCTAACGTGAGTTAGTGGGTCCGAAATCAATTAGTAAAATCAGTTCATATTTTAACGCTCCAATATAAGTCCAATAAACTATTTTAGAATGGTGAGACAGCACTCCACCTGGCCGTCAAAAATAGTTTCCACGAAATCGTCCGTGTGTTACTTGGGAGAGGAACGAATCCCAATATTGCCGATAAGGCAAGCCAACCCTTGATACATTGCAATTCTCAACTGATGCTTCAGTTAAATAAGTTGGCATCCACATTATTTAGAATGGGAACTTGCCTCTGCACATTGCCTGTGCGAATGGAGACGTGGCCATTGCATGCCTCCTCTGCGAAAGCGGATCACAAGTCAATGCCTATAACCTTGTGATTTTCCCTATTCGATCTAATTTGCCTGCTTTCAGGATCAGCTCAGTCCGTTGCACTTGGCGGCCAAATCTGGTGACCTCGAACTCGTTCGAGGGCTTTTATTCTATGGAGCCGATTCCGCGTCCCCTAATGGAGTAAGTGCTTTGTCATTATTTCAAACAGTGTACTATTTAGCTGGGGATCACAGCGGACGTTACGGCTTACGCGCTTGGTCACAATGACGTTGGAAAGCTTATTACAAGCATCACGCCAGTAAGCTAACTTTCTTCCTATCCTAATTTTCAAAGATAGGACATTTGGGATCCATGGGCTAGGTTACGGTGCAGTTTACATCCCCCTCAAATCGCAGCAATTTTTAACTCGTAGAAAAAAATAGGATTCGTTTTCAAGTGAGCGTCTTTTAGCCTTCAATACACTTTGATATATCATGCCTCAGTGACTAGCATTTCCGCCGTTGACAACTTACTTCTAGGCACGTATTGTCTGCTCCCATTTAAATTTGTGAGCACTGTTATTTGTCCTTTGAATTTTTTATATATTTGGGGTTAACGAAAATATTCTGGAGCTCCATGTAGGCCTTTGAAAACATTAATTCTAGGTTTACACATACTAGCGAAGAGGAATGAGCAATCTCAGTAGGAATGGCAAAGAAAATGGCAATAAAGTGGATCGGTTAAATTAATGTAGAGAGTTATCGCTTGTTCACAGAGGCACCCATTTCAAAAACCCAATTGCAGGAACGCCTGGTGAAGTTTCGGGAGAAGTTTGAGCCACTAGCAAAAAAACCGCGCATCAAGTTGAAACTGTTCGGTTCCTCTCTCTCGGGTAAAACAGCATTGTCGACATCCTTGCGTTCCGGAGTTGTAACTGGCTACTTGAAACGAAAAATGAAAGCCATCAGTCACATCGCTGAGTGGCTTTCGGAAGGTGGTAAGTTATTAACTTAATTGTCATTAATAAGATATTATTCTGTTTAAATGTTACCCTATTCCACTCTCAAGTCTTATTTTTCAACAGAAACCAATATCAAATACATCAATATCTCCAAAAGAAAAACGAAAATGTTCTACGCTGAACACGACAACTACACGCGGGGGATTGACATTAAGAGTCAGTTTAATGATGTGTTAGCAACGCTTTCTGCTCCCGACACGTACTATCCCTTAGGCGAGAGTGCAGTCTCAACAGTCTGGCTTGATGTTCATGTTAGTTGTGAACTTTAAAATGAATTGTTAAATGTCCTTGATATACCTTCATTTCTAAATAGTCGACATTGATATTTGCACTGCAGCCTCACGAGCACTACAACTGAGGCGATGAACAAACGGGCCTCAACAGCAGGAAGCAAAGTATTCTTAAATCTGCATATCGTTACTGCAAACTAAGGCTGGTTACTGGCAAGTGAAGATTTGATTGATTAGCCCCAAAAACACTAGTGCAGTCATTTGGAACCCACTGAAAGCAGCTTTAGAATGCAAGTCGGTTTTCATGCGTAGACCCGCCACCACTGCTTAAACTGCGTGGATCAAATTTATAGGCGGTAGTAATAAGGATGATCCGGTTGAAATAACTGCTGCCTTTTATAACAGTCATTCATGTTTTTTTTACTCGATGCGACTATTCCTATCTTTAGATACACCGGAATTCAGCATATGGGAATACTCCGGTTACAAACCATACTACTTCCTTTATTACTTCTTCATTGGAAATACAAGCTGCATCCATGCCGTCGTCTACAGCCTAAAAGATCCACCTTCTGTCCAGCGGGAGAAAGTTTCGTTTTGGCTCACCTTCATTCACAGTCGTCTGCCAATGCAAGAGGGTTGGTTCGCCCAAAAGTTTAAGCGAATAATAAAGTCTCGCATGGTGAATCAAGACCTATTCCAAGAGATGACAATTTTTTTTTCGTTATTAAAACTATGTCATCATAACTAACAGTTCAAAACACACAAAGAAATGGAAATGAGGTCCAAACACCGCTAGGAGATCAGTTTTTTGTCCAAAACAACATCTAATTCAACTTAGACTGACGTACAACTACTCGGGTGGACCAAAATTTTGCTTTTCAACCCAATCACATTGCCATTTCTTATGAGAGCTTTTACTTCAGGTCACTCTAATTTGAGAAAGGTTTTCAAAGAGCTTTAAACTTCACATTTAGCTGCAGAAGACAATGTTTAGTTTGCAATCCAGTCAAAACTAAATTGGGCTTCTATGTCAATGCTTGAGCATGGGACTAAGGTCTCCTTTAAGTCGACTGCAATGTTGCGTACTGCAACTATTTTTTGACTAGTACAGCTCATTGGAAAAGTTACTTGTCCCAGTTGCAAGGTGTTTGAACTGATCAGGAGCTGCTCTTAGGGTAAATGCTCGGCAAGAGAGTTGCTGTTTGGGTGACTTTCATTTGGCCTTATTTGGGAGCATTTGGGGTTTTACTGCAACAGCGAGTGAAGTGCAATGAAAGAGCTATTTTGCGGAAACTAAAAGTAATTCCTAAGAGGTCAGCTCACCAACTTCCACATGCATGGCGACTACTTTGATTTCCTCAAAAATTGAAGATGGTGACAATTTTATGCAACCTAAGTCTTAATTGACCATGGAATTAATGCATGAGTTTGGAATTATGGTATCTTTAAACACACAGTAAAAGGGTAAGTTCGAACGAAATCTTGACATGGTTGACCTCGGCTCCTACCATAAAGAAGAACAGGATCGAGGAGTTCATTTAGTCAAGCTGATGGATGTTCTTTACATAATGGGAGAGAGCAGCAAAATTTGTCAAGCACTAGTAAGCATGCATCCGCTTACGAAGAGGTAAGTAAACAAATTTTGTCATTTAAACAGACAGTTTGCTGCAATCCAAGGCCATTATCGTGTTAGTGGCAACCCACGCAGATGAGGTCGAGTGCACAAGGGATGGAGAAGGCTACCTTTATCATGCCGGGGCTGCCAGGCTTCTTCAGGATTTTCGGAGGCAATTTAAGTATGTTGCGTTGGCAAAACATCTTTCCCCGTTTATACACTTGATTGGTAAGATGCTGGTTTTAAAGTGGAAATTAGCACTCCGGCTGCTTAGCATTTCATGAAAATAGTGCTGGACAAATGAGCGTTGCTGGTCGGCACATACGATATCAATATAAAGCTTTAGCTACATAAGCGTAAAATAATGCGTTGCATCACAAGTCTGAGCCTTCGATTTTGGTTTGCTGGAAAGGCGATGACGAGGGTAGTAGGTTCCATGGGCGCAGCATGTCCTGTTGTATGAACACGTCTTGCAGCAAAAAACCTCGATCTCTTAAAAAGTGATCCTGCAATTTCGTGAGGCTCTGGGTTTGTTATTGTGTAATGAGGACATGCTTTGAACAGGCAGAATTGTGCCTCTGAAAGAGAAACCGCCAAATTTTGCCGCAGTTAGTGGATTTAGGACTATGATGACAAATCTTTTAACTCTTCGTGATTTTGAGACCAATTAAATCGGAATTGTTTGGTACTATGTGTGACGTTGATGCCTTTCAAATTCAGAGTCCTTTTATCGTTGTCGTGCTGTCACTTTGATAAAATAACGCACTTGAATCCTTTCAGAAACTTGTTTTTTCGAGGTATATTTCATGCCAGAGATGCTAGATGAAGGCATGACAGCTGAAATTATTTTAAATCGATACCACAGAGCTCCAAATGCATGTACTTGGAAGTTGCAAACCAAAAGCAAACTTTTGACCATTTATTTTCATTTGTAAAATATTTAGGTACAAATTAGCCATTCAGCCAGAGCTGCACGTGTTGGACGCCAATTCGCCAAATGCTGTGGAGATGAAGTTTTTCAAACAACAGCTTCTCAAGCTCAGAGATCGAGTAGTTTTGGTACGAGTTTCAATTTACTATGCACGAAGTTCATTTCCTTTTAAAGGTAGTAGTTTTCAAGGTTAACATCCCTATTGCAATTTTCCAAACGTACTTCCCTGCAAATGCCAAAAAATGCAGTAACTGTGATACTTTTACCACTGCACGTTACAAACGTTCCCTTGTTTACGCTCTGGTTGAAGTCTCACGTCTTCTCGATTTCTTAATGTGCTGTTTGACACGTTCTTTTGAAGCTAGCTGTGTTGTTGCTAATGCAGCCTTATGCACATACACTTTCGTTACACTATGCATCCTGTTAGTAACATTAAAAGGACGATAAATTTATGACGGTCCACCTTTCTCAGTCCATGCTTGTCTAAGTTATTACAGTGGTCGTGCATATGAACACTAAAGGCTCCCTTTCTAGGAAATACCAACAGTCCCCATCATTGCTGAAGTCATCTCAAATCGTCTGGAAGAGTGGAACCGAGCTCATTATGTCTCCATTAAGTACTGGCCCCAATTCATTCACCTAGTCCAAACCCGTATCAATCCTCTGTGCACAGAGGCCATTCTGCGGGAAACCGTTCAATTTCTTCAGTATACGGGTGATGTGAGTTGCTCCTCATTTCATCACATATTCTCCATTCTCAGATGCATTCAATCGAAACTGCTTAAAACTATTTTTAAATTCTACACTCCAGTACCTAGAATTATCACAACTCTTTGATTTGAGCCTTACCAGGTAGTCACTTAAAGAAGGGGATGAAACCTACAAACCATAAATGCGCGTTTGCTAATGCTCCACTCGCATAAACCCTTCGGAGAAACTTGGTGCAAATAAAGAAAAATGTCATTAGCGGAATGACAAATGCTTAATTTTGTTGCCTAAAAGTCTAAATTCGTTTCAAATTGTGCATGAGCATTGTATTTCACTGTCATTTTTACGTTCGCTATTTAGCTGCTACAGACCCACCCACTCGCTTCCCATTAATTGAAAGAAGTTATTTTTTATGCTATTTTGGTACCACTGCGTTTATTTGATCTTGGGTGCTTATCGTGCCTCAGTGTTACATAATTCCAAACACCCAAAAGTTTATATGTATTAGGTAGTCAAACCTGCTGCGCTTAAAGCCAGTGTAATATTTGGGGTGCTCCAAAACATAGCTAAAAAAGGTATTTCTAAGCATCGCTGTGGTGAACAAGATTTTGCATTAGGTCTTTTGAAGTCTGAAGAAAAATATTGGTAACGTTTTCCTTCCTAGCTAATCGTGCTGGAAACGGAGGATGAGAACGATTTAATAATTTTAAATCCGTCGTGGATCTTGACAGAGGCCGTCGGCAATCTCTTCTCACAGGACAGCATCAGCCATGCTCGTGTAACAGGCAGTTTTACCACTGATGATTTGCACTTCCTCATTACTGAAAGTGACGTTGACATGGTGGTCGAGGTGCTGACCGCCCTTGAGTGCTGTACCGTCTGTCAACAGGTCAAAGATAACAATGACGGCGTTAGTGGGAACGGTGACAATCTTCTCCAGTTAGAGGTACGGAAACAATCCATCCATTCATTTTTCGAAGACGCAGTGGCAGGAACCACCTTAGAGACATCTCAGGCTGAGGAGCTGCAGCTGGAGATTCCGAGGTTGAACCTTATTCAGCCTTCGGACTTGGAAGAAGTCTGGGGAAGTGGAAAAGAGATGTTAAGGACCGGAGTGCAGTTTAGAGCCTCGGGAGCACAGCTCATCCACCTCTTTCCGCGAATTCAGTGCCGCCTGCGGAGAGCTGTGACTAAGTTTTCTGAACAGGAGGGTCTAGAGGGTCCGGAGCTAGTTCAGTGGTTGCACGGGAGTAGGCTCACCTTTAACAAAGCCCTTATCAACATTTGTCTTGTCTGTGAGGAAACAGAAGAGGTACGTTGTGAAAACAATTCCGTTATTTACACTTCTGGAGTAAGCTAATCATTAGTGCATGTGTTAGTTACCGATAACGACCATGTCAAGCCACCAAAGACAATGGAATTACCTTCATTTAGTACTTCTGTTTGGCCAGATCCCTTTTGCCTTTTGTATTTTCTTTTATTTTATAACAGTTTTATGAGTACTATGCAAACTTTCAACTAATAAGCAATTGCTTAAAATTTGCAATCATTTGGCTGAAATAATGTCAAGCACTTAATGATCACGCCTTTTAACCGCCTTCCAGTACTTTCTTCGACCTTACGCCATGACCTCACTGAGTAATTGGAAAAACGCAGCCCTCTGTTACTCATTGCCTCTTAGTGCAGAAAGTGCAAAAGCGAAGCACTTCCAAAGAGAGGCATAGTATTTGTAATACTTTTCTTGTTTGACTTCCAATGTCGATTATGGCAACCCGAGCGGCCACATTTTCTTAGTCCGGCTGGTCTACCAACAACCCGAAACCCTTCCTGCCTTCAAGAAAGTCTCAGATTGCAACGACAAGGTAGTGTAGCCAAGTGGTCTAAGGCTCACATTCAGCGTTATTCGAGGTTAAACTAGTGCAAAAATTTAAAGACTCAAATGGATTTAGCCTTATTTAGATGTTTTTTGGCATTTTTTTTAAATAAAACACGGGGTCCGAAGCCAATATCATCAGACGATCTTAGTGATTTGGGCAAAGGCATCCAAGCTATTAAAAATTCGATCTGTGCCTTCAGTTAAAGTGCGAGTGCGCTTGTATCCATAGAACACTCTCTACATAAATAAAAATAGAATGGATCTATGCTTTCTTTATAGGCGATCGAAGTGAAACTCGAAACGCATAGCTCGCTGACACTTTTAGCATTCAGCTGTTTCCATGACACCATCATTCTCGTCCGCACAGCCCTAGACGAGATCGTTCCTCAGCTCTCAATATCCAATTGCCTCCTCATCTTCAAAATCACCACCTCCAGAATTTGCAAAGAAGTGGTCTCTCAGCCAACAATTTTCCACCTTCTCACCACTGATTCAGGAACCTTTACTCTCCTTGAAGGGACTCTTTTCCTCCGGAACCCCCAACTTCGATCCTGTTGCTATTTCGGAGATCGCATCCCATCATCGTGGATTCGCGATGAGGTGCTTCTTGGGGTGTGTTCACAATTGGACAATGATGACAGTCTCTCAGAGACTCAGCTAAGGGACTTAAGTTGCCTTCTCAATAATGATCCACAGAGCTCGTCGTGGGTAGAACTGAGTTCCCATGATAATCGTCTGAATCGACTACTACAGATGTTAGTAGATTGGCGTGATTGTTCAGGCGATGTTACGGTTGGTCGGCTAATCTCTTCTCTCCAAACTGTCGGATTGACAGCGATTTCAACGCTGTTGCAGGAGAGCCTGCCTGTCTTTGTAATGAAGGACCCGATAGCTACGGCTGTTGAATAAATTTTATGATTTCAAATAAAAGCACTTATTTGGTGGAAAAGACGAAGTTCGGGTCATGCTAAACAAGGCGTGGTCAGTCATTTTTATCACTTATTGCCCATAGCCCAGCAATCACTCAACCGTTGATGCTGTTGGATTTTCAAATCTATCCGTCCATTTCGACGCTAAGTTATAGCAGAGCTTGGGACGCTGAATGCTTATTTAAACAAAGCAGACCTTACTATCACCGTATCATCATCGGTCCGCAAACCACAAAGGCACAGAGGAACTCTCCAGTCGGTTTAAAAGGGCCACCTTTGCGAATCCTTGACCGCGATTAGGCATGGATGCCTAATAATAATGACAATGCTACAGTCTACCATCATATTCCTCGTTTGTGCCTAATCAAAAATAATAAGGTAAAAATTTATTTTACTTAAAAATCTAATGTGCTAAAAAATGGCCTCAAGTGTCTCTACCTGACGGACAAGGAAATCCATGCTAGGCTAGCTCATTTGGTACGACGAACCATTTTAAGTTCAGCACAAACATAATTAGTAAGGTCGAATCTATGCATTTGTAACGTGATGCAGCACTTAAGTAAGTGAACTTGGAAAACCACTGATTTGCGTGAGGATGTCCGCAGTCAACTGCAGCCCCCGGTTCATTGTTAATTCACGCAACGCCGCCGAGTATGGTGAGCCATGAACCACAATTTAATCAAGTTGAACTCGTGCGTGCAGGCGTTGCTGTAATTTAGATCTTGGACCTTTAATAATGTGTAATCTGTCATTTTATTGCCAAAGTGAGTTCTAAAGTGTATAATGATACTCAGCTCTCGAACATCACTATGTCAAAGTTGCTGATGCCTGACTCCCCATTCACACGCATCACAAAAAGTCTTTAGGTTCCTTTGGAAGACATTCCGTCCATCTGATTGGTAAAACCGATACAAAGCACCACTTTCACCCCTACATTATTCTTCCTATTTCTGCCACCACTTTTAACTTGCAACCAAATAATGCCGCTGGATGCGTCTCACCAGACCTTTACCAACCAAAATACTCTCGTCCAGACACTTTGTAATATAACTGTAAGCCTAGAGGTAAGTGCCTTGTGCGGTGACATTCAAAAGGCGATCTATTATTCGGGCAGAACATATACACGTGCTTCGAAGAGAATTTGCTCTGCAACTAATCCACTCGACAGAGTCCAGTGTCTACAGCCGAAATCAAAGGTTAACCTAGCAAAGCATTTCAACCGCTGCAATTAATTGACCGAAATGCTTTCACCATCCTTTTGGTAAATGTGTGAGTAAATATTAACCCCTACATGTGGCCTCAGGTGTAATTCGTGATACAAATATGCAGTCAAGATATAAAGTTAAGTAGTTCGTCGATACGAAGGCGGATTTTTGCGCCTATAAATTATACTAGAATGAATTCAACTCCCAGGTTATCAAACGGCTACAGGCGACTAAACCTGACGAACATACCCTCAAACCACCGAAATGTTTTCATATTCGAGTCTTCAGTACAGCTCCTAGTAATGCTAAACCTCCAAATCCTTTGTAGTCATGGCCCCGCTCATCTCGACCTGATTGGTCCGTATTCAGCCCAGAAGAAAGCCAACTGTGCTGATGGGTAACGGAGGTCAGAATTAAGTACCTTTCATGAATCGCTTAAACTCAGTCTAGGGGCATCTGCTTATTATTAGTGGCCAGACCTGCACTACCTCAAAACCACGGTCGACAAGACCGTCCGTCATAAGCAGTGACGTCATTTGGACGAAAATAGCCATTTGAAATGCATTAACCATGCGATTAGGATTTAATCGACTTTACCTTCCACATCGCATTACTTGTTGCAGCAGTTAATCTGGAAAGATGGTACCAGGGAAAACCTAATGTCACAAACACGCCAAAATAGTGCATTTATCCAGTCAGAGGCATGTGAATTGACCCCTTAGTAAAGATGCGACGCTCTAGGCATAAACTGGGAACGAGAAGTGCCGAACACTGCTGCTTAACTAACAGTGCCATGTAGCGCGTCAAAGCAGTGTGAGTGAACTGTAGTTGTAGTTTGAAAGACCTCTAACAGTTTACATTTTGTAGCCAGAGATGGGATACTCTTTCACCTTGAAGAAAAAAATTGGCGCTCAAACCCAAGGAATCCATAATTTCAATGTCATTCATTGTTGGAATGAAAGTACCGTAAGATTTGAAGTCAGGCCAAAGGAAATTAACACCCGACCTAACCCCAGTCACTAGACTTCTGAGGATCTTTTCTGGTCGTATCACAACCAACAGCAATTCAGAGGTAAGTTTACACGATTTCGATGCATTGCGAAACTCCAGACCACCAAATCAGTGAAAATAACTGTTGCTAAATCAGCACTGTTAAAAAATTGATTATTTGAAACAAGTCAAGTTTTTAGAAACATTTCAAAACTTAAAAAATTAGAGCAGTGCTAAAAAGCGATGGAGATTCAAGTAAAAATGGAATACCATGAGTCGAAAATATCCACGGAAGGGCATGCCAAAGCAAAGCTCAGTCGCGGTTCTTATTCGCTCGTTTGAAGGTATTCATTCCATCAAATGCACCGCTGATTTTATATAAGATAATCAGAATAGAGAAGGGAAGGATTCTGAAGCAAAGTCAAGATATAGCGCGATGATAGATTCATAAACAGAGATCAATATGATGTAGTCACTTGTATCAACTTACCGTTGCAAAAGCGGAACGAACCAAATTATCCATGGGATGTAAACAGTCCTCTCCCGATAGCGAATCGCCTGAATAATACGCTTGGCAACTTTCTCAGGTTCCAGAATGGGTAGGATGGGTAACCTAAGAAGCAAACAAAAATATTTCTGCATTAAAGAACAAAAGCCATGTAGATGCAGTTGACAAGACTCCACATTAACTAACTTAGAGTTGAAGCCTTCAAAGAGGCCCGTATCGATGGCGAAAGGTCGTATTTCAGTAACTGCAATACTTTCACTCATTCCCAAGACTTCCATTTCAAGACGTAAAGTCTCTGCCAAAGATGATAGGCCTGCCTTAGATCCACAATAATCGCCCAGGCCCGAACAGATGGTCTGACTTGCGAGGGAGGACAAGAACACCAGATGCCCCCTGGGTGGCTCATCAAAGCATCTCTTCACATTGCTCTTTGTTGGAATAACGCGCAGTTGTTGTGGGATGTGTTCCATGGCAGTCTTGTAGGTGCTACCAAGCATCCCAGGTAAAAATTCCTTCAGAAACTATCCCAATGGACCAAAATCAAAAATATAGCAAAATAGTGAAACAGACCGACGGAAAAGCCAAGGACTTACATAAAATGGGGCGACAAAGTTTACTTGAACCAATTTTTCAAATCTCGCCGATGGAAGATCAATAAGAAAGTTACCATTTACAACGGCAGCATTATTGATAAGTACTGTAACTCGCCCATGAACTCTACGAATGTACTCTGCGCACATTTTAATAGCATTACGATCGCTGAAGGTAATGAGGGCAAGTGTTGACAAACCTTACATCACATTCGTAGAATATCAGATCAGAATTATACCGCTCTGAGACGCGCAAAGCAGTTTCCTTCAAGCCAATGATGTCTTTATCCAGAGCAATAACCGTGTGGCAGTATTCTGATAGCAGTATGGTTAAGAGCCTACCAATTCCATTTGCAGCACCTGAAGACCAATATAGGACCAAGTACAAATTACCCGTTATAAGAATAACGTCATTTGACAGGTCAGCAGGCTTTTTACCTAGGTATTTGTAAGCAAGAAAGATAACACAAACAGAAACGGCCAGCGAAATTAGAGTCAACCACATTTGTGCGGAGCGATTCAGAAAGCCAGTCTACGGACCAATAACAACCAAGGACACATGAAAATTCCAACTCATTAAAAAGGATAGACAAATATATTATAGAAAGTCATAAACGTCATAAAACATTTCACAAACGTTAAATAATGCGTAAAAGCAAAATATTTAAAAATTCTTATGTAACTATTTATGTGCCTTCCTGACGTTTAGCGGACTTTAGGATTTGTCCAGCCCTCATACCTGTGAGCTAGTCCTCAGGTGACGCTCAGGTCCATTTGCTTTGTCCTCTTTGGATATCATGTATCCAGTTTCACTTACTACCTTCTACCATCCTGTGGGAAATCTCGAAATGCTACACCTGAAAAAACGGCAAATTTGTACTAGGACGGAATTACTAAGATGTTATGTACCGGAGGCCAACTTGACCTACTCAGACATTTTGACCACCTAAGAGACCACTATCGAAGTCGGCAGTGTAATATACACTGTTGTGTTTAAGTTTACTTTCAAAGTGGAGAGTCAAGAAATCAATCTGAACGCGAATACATTGTGTGAGGTGTGTTAGGACTCCTTCCCTACGTGACATCGGCTTTCCATCCCATCATTCTCCCTCATTTTCTTCCTTTCTGTACATGATGTCGAGTATAGCTTCCTCAACTAATTCTTTACTGAAGTCCAGGGTTCGAAGGCCTGCGTAGGGACAGCTAAATAAAATCGCGAAGTATTAAGTGCGTGCTGCCAAAATAACGCAGATTTTGTAGCATCTTGTCCGCCCAACCGCTCGTATGAATGTTAGTTATTTTTCAGCAATTTTGTTTCTGTTGCGTAAGCTGATTTTAATACTGGATTGCAACCGTATTCCTAGACGATATTGCTTAAAGGCAAGCAGCTAGTCTTCATCCCTTGCCGAAGCCTAATCTCCCTCCTTCCTATTAAATGTATTCGGCGTTACGGATCATTTCATTTGAAAAGAATGGCATATCTCTGCGTAGAGTCTCCGCCTCAGCCTTCATGATCGTAGGTTTACCTCTCATTAGAAAAGATTCGCCATAAAATGTTAAATTAAACATGTAATTTAGCATGCGGAGAAATTTAGTAGCATTACTGAGGAAGTGTTTACCGTCAGTGTAGAGGATGCTTTGCACACTCCTTTAACACAGGATTTGTTTACGTTTAAACAGGAACTCGGCTTCGTTTGAGAGGCCAAAGTGTGTCACACCAGACGATACCCTAAATTCCGAAACCTTAAACTCTGACAGATTAATTTCGGTAGAGCGTGTTTATTTTGTCCAATATCATTACCTAGTGTGTATACCCACGATTTCGAAAATATCCTTTATTGCTCGATAAACAGGCGGTCTTTCATTCTATAGACGAATTGAAATAAACATGCAGCTCTAAATCTGCCATTAACTTATTTTATAGATGCCGTTTTCTCTGCAGTTTCGTTGCAGTATTTTGTCATTGTTTTGACTATTATTTGACCCCTGGTACCGTCTGTGCTTATAAGGACCCTTTTGACTACTGGCCTGCTTGCCTGCATCTTTATTTCATCCTTCTGTCCACTCATATGTCCACCTATTAGTTACTTAGCCGCCTATTTACGTCGAATGGGTGGTCAGGGCCCTTATCATGGCTATACAATCATCAATAAATTAGGTATACTTCCTTTCCGAAGTCTACTTGTTGTTAGTTCATCCACTTTTGGACGTCCGTGAACGAGCCTATGAAAATATTATAAACAAACTAAAGCGCGGCTTACTACCTCTAAATCACCTACCGGACGTAGTTAAAGTCGTATTGAATTGCCTACGGAAAGATGTGAGCGTTCAGCTGATCGATGTGCTTTATCACATCAGCTTGGTAATGTTTTTATAAATTCACAATCTTTTAGTGTCCTACTGGCTGCGCTCTACTTTCCCAAGGCGGTGCAGTGGAATTCTTAATAGACTTATTAACGAAATCAGACTTTCAAGTGCATCGCCATATCATTCAGTCAATTTTGTCCAATATCCTATCTGGAAATACTGCAGTTTTGCAGGATTCCAGCGTTGGTGATGAAGTCGTCCATCCCACCTCGTTAATCGTCTCGAACGTTGGGGACATTTCTGTTCATAATGAAGCAACTGCTAAAGTCGATACTTTATGTGATGCGACTTGTCAGTCAACCGCATCACAAAATAAAGCCACACCACAACGTATGGGTACGATCTTGTAAAGTTAAATACTATTTTGAAGGCTTTCTTATCGACTATTTGCCAAAGACGGTTATTTCAGAAGACAATCATTCGTACCTATCAAACTTCCTCCGGTGGTTTTCTAGACTTTTAATTTATTCTTCTGTTAGGGAAATTTCGGAAGCAGGCGATCCAACAATTTTAACTAAACTATACCAACTTGATAGTGAGATTCTTAATGATTTTCCTGCAGAGATTTTCGTGCAATATCCGGCCATTGTTCAGGTACTTTCTCCTATTCAGCTACTTATGTAGTTTCTCAGCTTTTATCCGTCTTAATTGCCACGTCGAGGAGCACTCGTGTTAAAATAACGTCGGCTGAGGTTTTGGTTAATTTCTGTCACAAAGTGGCAGTCCGTGTTCAGTACTTTGAAAATCCAAACAATTTTCATCCAGCATTGGGTAGGTATCCAATCTTTGATTGTAGAATAACTTAATTCCTCGATTCAGTTGGTGGGAGAATTAGTTGTCTGGATCAGGAGTGAGTTGAATGTCTTCGTTTTGGCGTTGGTTTGCAATGAGTACATGAGGTTTGATAATCGGATAGCTTATGAAACCTTTTCAAGGCTTAAAGATTAGTTAGTAGGTTGTTTCTTATCATTTTTTTATGTTTTCCACCTTCTTTTGTGTGCGTGGCATGCCATACTCGTCTTTTTCGTAATCGTTCCTCGATCTACAAATGATTATCTTTGCTCATCCCATCACTGAAAGTTGTATTTGACTCAGAAGAATGAGGAACGCCGAGTGGGTTTAACTGTGCCGTTTACCACTTGAGGTAATTGGTTTGTTTTTATTATTAGCGGTTGTGCCACCCTTCAGACAAGTAATTATTTCCAGAAAAGGTTCAACAGTAATTAGTAAATAGTAACGATTGTTTATGGCAATTCCTGCTTGGGAACTTCTTCTCAACGTTTTTTTTCTAAAATCGCATTCTCCTTCCCACAAGCAACATCTTGAACACTATTAAGTCGATCCTCTCTGAAGCGTCAATATCAGCCTCGCTGAACAGCAGCTTACTGCCACCGACCGTCATTCAAATGCCACCGAGGCCCGCCCTCCCCGCACTCTGTGTAGCCATCATGAGCGCTGCGTTGTCAGGCTTCGCCTCACCTCGTATTGCCGTCCACGTAGCGCTCTTACGTCTTCTAAACACCTCCGTTGACCTTTTTCTTGGCTGCACTCACGTCGGTATTGCTGATCACTTGGTCTCCTTGGACTTTCTTAACACGTTAAAGCCACCGCCTGGAGATTTCCTACCCACTCAGAACGTGGTTCGTTTATTTAGTTTCGTCGGTTCAAGAGTCCAGCATTGCTTGATTGTTGCAGCTGAATTCGTAAAACACTTTTTAAGAGGCTGTCTCAACTCAGTCTTTGATTTGTCGCTCCAAATAAAATTTCTCAAAAGCATACAAAAGTTATCAACACCTTCAATTACCAGTGATTCGCGCTCAATCCTGTAAACAGTTGCCCACTGCCACTGCACTTCACATAACGAAATAGCAGTAAGATTTACGAATATTTGTATAAATCGAATTTCGTCTTCGTTCTAGACACCGGGGTTCGATGACGTGATGGAACTGTGGGGCATAATGCTTTCAACATACGCGAGGGATTGGCGCAGCAACCTGTACTCTAGTGATGCCCTTGAAGGTCGTCGCCAGCAGAACTTCGAACACTCTCGATGTGCCTATGTTGGCCTGCTTCGTGCCCTCTTCCGTCTCCTTTCTGCCCTCTGGACTCCCGAATCGGTAAATTTCTAATTATATCCGTCTTCCTCTAACTGTCGATCAAGCTCGGGTATGGTTTACCTTCAAACTTTATAAGCCAAATTAAAGGTTATGAATACATTCAACTCGAGATATAGTTATTGAATGTCGGTAATCAGAAACTGAAAAATACTTATTTAATGACTACTGAAATCTTTTCGTCCGCAAGACCTTTGCGGTCATCCTTGAGAATACGATAAGTTTTTTATGGGCGTGGGGATTGATTTCACCAGGCACTCTATCAATATTCAGTGTAATTTCTTGAAAACAATATCTGCATGGTGGTTCAACACAGCTTTAGTCGAAATAGTGACGCTTATTTGCTCATTTCATACCATAGTAAATGTCTGTTAATTCCATTACCGGAATAGTTTTTTTTTAAATTAACCAAATGTGGATAGAACAACATAACGTCGTCGAATTATGTAAACATTTAGATTTTTAAATGGAGACTATCTGAGTGCTTAGGTGTTTTTTTGCAGTCTTTTATGCTTGAACCTATTTGTCTTTTTCCATTTTTTTAGTGCGCTTTTATGTTACCCTCAATTACCTCCTTCGAGCTCTCACTAGGGCTCCTTGACTGCCATCTCGTCCACTCCGCCGCTACTGCCGCCTCGAAGGCAGACGCTATCGGCCTGTCCGCCTATGTGCGTTTTTTAGACCCTGAGATCTTCCTCCTCCGTAGGCGATTGGTCGATTTCTTCCATGTAACTGCGTCTGCTGTAGCTTTCGTTCGGGGCCTATATTCCCTTCAGGTCAATTGTTGCGACTCTTTCTACTTGTGAATTTTTTAAAGCACAGATAAGTAAACTAGTATTTGGAGGTCTTGGCACTACTTTGTTGCACTCTAGCATTAGTGTCTTGCATTTGCATTTCAGAAGATAGTTCCGCTTATCTAGATTTAGTCAGTCTTCACGACCTTTAAACTTCGGGTCAGAATTGAACTTCTGTCTAAATAGAACTTCGATCCATGTCAGCCAGAATGGATAAAACCTCATTCCACTTTTTATTCCCTCATCTACTTCTCCCATCCTTGTATTATCTAGTCCTCAAGTCTATTTCTTATCTTGGCGGCATAGCTTTGCCTTGGTCGTTCATTTTTTGCAATTGAGTTATTCGTCTTTGCCTTAGCGTTCTAAAATATTTCTTAACAAAACTCTTAAGGGCGTTTTTAAAAGGATATACTTTTCGTCGAATAACTAAACTTTTAGTGGCTGCATGCACCTTAAGTTGGGGCTAAATTCATATGAACTGTTTAAGAATGCATCCCAAATATCAGCGTATTTTGGGTTTATTTTGGAAAAGCTGTTTGCCATCAGCTAATTGGTGCTACGCCACTCAGCTGTGACGAGAGTCGTTAAATTTGATGATTAAGAAATGCAGTGTTACTTCTATTTCGTTCTGAAATTATCTTCGCATTATCACATGAACATGAACATGAACATCCCCGTAAACCTCGTAGCCGCATAGCTTTCCATGTTTTGTTACGATTTTGTCTTCCAGTAGCTCAAAGTAAAGGTCTCTGATACATGTTTTAATTCATTTGCTTGGTGAACTCACAAGTTTCCCATTTTAGGAAGTGGAAAAACCTGCACTGGAAGATTTAATGAAGCAAGCTATAAATGGATTGGGTGCCGTCGAATTTTTCTTCGAAAGTTACATCCCAAAATTTGTAAAGCTTCTCTCCGAAATGTAAATCAATTGGGTTCTTTTGGATTTACGTGTGATAAGATGAGATCTCAATCTACGGTTTTCAAGTATTGGATTCTTCCTGTATTTTCAGCCCACTGATCGTGGAGGAGTCAATCTGTAGTACCTTGATGTCTCAAGGTAGACCATATCTACTAATGCTTCTTGCTCATCCCTTGGACGGTGTTCGAAGGGTGACGTATGCACAGATTTTGGATGTTATTTCAGTGGGTTCTCATCTCTTCACAAAACTTCATGTCTCTTGATTAATTTTGGCGGTGCTTATTTACCCAATTTTTTAGATTCTCTGGGTTTTAAAGTATTTTATTAATTGATTCACAACAAACGCGTTTGTATTTTGACTTAGTTGTTTCTAAGACTCGGTTTTTTTACCAAGACAAACATTTCGATCGACCTGGCAGCAGATCCAACGTCACACCGCTACAAAAGCCTCACCTTTCTTCTCACTCCTGAAATTCTCGGCGAAATTGTCGAATTCGGTCTGCAAGACTCAGTCCCAGAGGTTAGTCAACTGTGATTTGTAACAGCGCCACCTCTCTAGATCGTTTCGTCCGTTCAAACATGCCTTCGTATCCTCCTTGATGCTCACCAGCTCATTCCACAACCCATGTGGCTTCTGCTTGTGAATCTCCTCGTGGAGTCTCCTCACAAATCCTTTGAACTCAACTGCCTTCTCACTAGCTCTGATTGGTGCCCTCTTAAGCCTCTTCTGTCTCTCGGAATAGCTCCACTTACCACCTCCTGTGATAGTTTGCTTGCGGAGCGTGTTCTAGACGCTTGTCAAGGTGTTAGTGGCTTCGCAGGCATTCACTCAATCCCAGTGGCGCCGCTTTTGCCCCTGCTCTATCTTCCTCTATCAACAACGCGTCTGAAAGCTGCCGGATCGATCGCTCGCATTCTCAGAACCAATTTCCATCCAGCAAAGGAGGTGATAGAAGTGGTTACTTCGATAGAAGAGACGCTGGGTGATCTCCTTTTTGTGGTGTCTGAAGCAAAACCTTCGGTAAAAGAGATCATTTCGCAGGACTTTATCCGTCATTTGTCCATGGTGATGGACGATTTTGGTGAATGCGGGACAGCACTCGTCAATGCGTTGGAACTGGTGACCGACGAGGTGGCTACTGTGGAAGTTCGACGTAGCGCCGGGGAACAGGTTTTGGCGATCATCACCTGTGAGAGGATACCCGTCTATTAATAAAGCAAAAAAAGTTTATTGCTGTTTGAGCTCTTGTACATTGTTGTTGCATCTGCCATGCAAATAAGGTCATATTAAGGATCTACGAAGTCCGATAGCTTACCTTTATTAAGCCGCTAGCAGCATTCACTTTGAAACAATAGTTCAAGGACTTTTGTAGGCAAATGTGTCCTTATTTCGATTTCTTTTTGCTTTTAATCTGGGTATCAAATTCTAAGAAAGATAAATTAAAATTTGATATCCCAGCATTTCGAAGCTGCACTGAGTCAGAGTGCGTTTTAAGCTAATTTATCTAACTCTATTTCCAGGCATGTGTATTTTACAAATGAAAATTGCAAAATACCGGCAGTTTGTTTTTAGGCAGATGGTAAAGGATAGTGAAACGAAATACCTGCACGGGTTATCGGAAAGAACTGCTTATGCTGGCATTCAAGCACAAAATTATTCTTTCAACTTACATGATTTATGTCTCCTATCAAGTCAGAAAACATGATCCTTCCTTTTTTTGGGCAGGCGAACATTTAAGATGTTATTTCGTATTTTTGAAAAATTTCTTAAACCTTTATTTTGGATGCCTTGGGAATCTGTTTAGTGCCCTTGTTTATCACTCAGTAAGGCATCAATTGGTCTTGGCAATTTCAGGAACGTACCATCATTAGTTGGCCAGGTTGCACTGGTACACCCAGGTACACTGTTTCAGAGGTATCACTTGTTTTAGCACCTGTTGGACTAACTTACTGGCATGAGGTGGGCGGCCCAACCATAATTACTGAATGGATTTCTACGTTGCCAAGCGCCATGGGGCAGACTCTGGCTGGCAAGCTTCTCATCGAACCCGTTGTGCGCATCCAGTTGGCCATCGTTCAATTTGTTGTCACTTATGACTTCGACTCTCGCGTTCAACTCTATCTAAATCAATCAACCTGTCTTCTTCCCCTCCTCTTCAGTAGGTCGGCAGTTCCTAAAACGCTTGTTCTAACTACCGTTTTTTACCGCAGTTGGGCTCTGCTTTTGGAAGGTGGACGAAATTCGCCGATGTGTTTCAGCGATCATTGCTCTGGTCATCTTCACTCCAGCAATCAGAACTTCCGATGAGTAAGTGAATGATTTCTAATCTCTGGTGAAACCGGAGTTGTTGTTGTTGTCTAAGCGGAGTTTTCCAGTCAAGCATTGTGGGCTGCTCCAAATGATAGTTGAATTTACAGAATAAAGATACAAGTGATCTGATTAATTTAAAAAGCAATCGATTGTACCTTAAAGTTGCTTCCTACCTCCCAAAGTTTAAAATCTTATGCAACTGAGTTCAATTCTAAATATCATCGGTCGTTTTGTAACTGATATTGGCAAGTAACTTGTGAACACCGTCCGCTTTGCTGCTGATTTGACCTTTCAAAATGTCCCCTTTAATGAGATCCCAATTTTAAAGGGTGTGTCCTGAAAAATCCTTGTCTGTTTTTACTCAGGTAGCCTTAGCGAAGCTATATTCACCATTTGCAATTATGTCGATGATGGGTTTGAGATTTATAGCAATTATATGGCAGTAGTCGTTAAGTCAACCCATTATTGGGAACAAGATTTAGCATCATCACAATTTGTATGGTTTTCACCGATGGTATATCATTGGTTCGTGAGTTCAGAATAACCCCTTTAAGTATGTACTGGTGTTGTGTGCTACGGAAGGCTCAGTGCGGATTTTTTTAGCGGAACCATTACTAGTTGATCCACTTCTCTTAAGTGGATGGCCTCAGACTATTTGTGTGACGGACTTCTAGTTGTAAAAACTGTATATGCTTTGTTGTCTGTCTCAATAAAATTCATGATCATTAAACTAACCGCGTAAAATCTTTACGTGTTGGGAGTTTACTAAATGGATAGCAGCGTTAGTATTACGATTAAAAATTTTATCGGTGCAAAGGTGCTAGTTTTTATTTCGGCCTTTATTAACATAAACAATGCAGCACAGTTGTAAAACCTATGATCTTTATTTATTATTTCAAACCATATCCCCTGATTCTCTACCTTTATAGATCCCCCGTGTGTCTGCCACAGGCAATCACTCGCTCCTTCTGTCTGCCCTTCGTCTGTCCTATCTACTGCCTCCAATCGCGCCATCGCATTGAACGGCCTGACTTCTCGAATCTTCTTAACCATCTCACTAACGCTCGTGCTCTATTTGTCCCGCCTTCACAGAGGACACGGTTGATAACAGTGGCGGTGATTAGAGCTCTTCGTGCTATTTTGGGTTCCCTCCTTGAAAAGGGTGATGCTCTGACTATGTGAGTCGTCGGTATCTCTGGTGCCTGTGAACCTCCATTTGTTCGTGTTTCAAGCTAGCTTGCAAAAAAATAGATTTTTTTTGGTGGTAGTGTCGAATTAACTTCCACTCTTGTTCGAGTATTAGCTAGTGAAACAGTTTCTCTCCATGAATTTCATCATACTGGAGCCATTACTTTCCTTCTTTATTGTATAATCTGATTAAACCTTCCGGTTTTTTGTGCTATATCTATTCTGAACTCCAATAATTATTCCCGTCTTCTTTCTTCATTTGAGGTTAGATTATATTTTTCGCCTCAAACTCATATTAGTCTTTTGTAATACCATCGAAAACATTAAGGTAGACTATTGCGGTAAAGTTTGGTATTATGACTAGAAATTACAGTAATTGAATGGATGCTTCTTTAGTAAACAAGAAATTTTCCATGTTACACGTAAAACCCAATAGTTAAATCTAAGTGAATTGGAATACATTTGTGTCGTAAACGTATGAAACGAATGTTACGTTTTATCATCGATCTATGATATTTTTTCAAAACATTAGGTTCTTCAAAATACTTCCATTCGGAAGCCTGGATTCCCGGACGGGACTCAACCATAGCATTTTATTTTTCCTGGACTACTTCTGTCACGCTATATTAACTTAGACATTTCGCTGTGTTCAATACTTGTGTGGGGTAGGTTTTTAAACTAGTCAGTGAATTTATTATTGTATTTACAACTTATCTACTTTGTTACAAGTGATCCAATTCTGAACTGCACAACCACAGAGTCTGTCATCGTGGAAGCCACGCAACTCTCTAGTGCCATTCCACGTGTTCTCCAAGGCATCCGGACGTCTAGCTCTCACGCAGAGGCCTCGATGCATATGAGCCACCTCCATCTGCTTGCTGTTGTCTTTTGGCGTAGTCCTGCAAGGTCTATGGTGTGGTGGCACAAGGCGGATTTGGCCCGCTTCCTCCACGCCCTACCTTCCTGCACTGATGACTACCGCTTGCTTATGCATTGCCTTCAAACATTGACCAATTTAGATTTCAGTCCGCCTTGTTGTAATCTCCGTACGATTCCGGTGGGTAGAAACCAGTATATATTTTCTTTACCTTTAATGTTTCTATTGCGACTTCGGAAATTTGAAAATCAAATCCCACATGTACCATCACGAAAATAACCAATCCTTTGGATTCAGAGAACTGTAACTATTATCTGCATAAGAATGGACTGCCTTGGCTTCTCGTTCCAAGGTTGTTCGCCTGAGTTCACTAATTGTCAAAGATCGCTTTCTGGTTGAGTGTGAAATTGATATCCCTTTCTAACAGAATTCGATTTTAATGAAAGTTTTCGTCTTTGTATGTTAGTCCGCCGTTCTTGTTAGAAAGCACACTCTCATGGGTCCCTCAAGTTCCTATCTTAATTTATTTTGGTAAATTTGCAAGAAATGGTGGTCATCATTTTCTTCCTAACTTCGATCGGGCTAGGCCAATTTTTCCTGCCTACTTTTTGTATGTCAGAAAACAAGCAGTTCCTGGGCGGTTCAATCTCAATTCAATCTCTGCCCACATAAACCCAAATTAACCATTGTCGTGAGGATTGAAGCTGTGTTTGAACTCCATACACCATATTACCTGCTTTTCATCAGTGCTTATCATTTTGCAATCCACTATCAACAACCGCAACCGGTATTAAGGGTAAAAATGTCAGAACATGGTGTCCATGGTTACAAGATGCTCATCAGTGCAACAATTTAGGCAAATAATGATAGCCAAACATGGGAGGCCTGTGAAGTAGGTTCGTACTTGAGGCAGTGTGTTTTCTAGAAGTTTGAAAATATTAATTAGATCTGTTGGAAATGCCGCTGTTTTGTATGATACACGTTTCACCATCGGAAACAGTCGGTTTCTGGAGCTAAGACTTGGAACTATGTGATTTGTTGGATGCCTTTCGCCGGATTCCTATATATGCTGCAGATGTCCAAGTGGATTTTGGAAGAAATCATGACGACTGCCTCACCATTGGCTTACCTACTGCTCCGTTTCGATGCGGGAGTTGGTGCCACAGATAGTGAGCGCCTGATGGAGGCAAAGCTCACACTTCATTTTCGCACTCTCCCACGCCTTTTCGACGCCCTTCTTGCTTGCGAGGACTTCCTTGCTGATATTGGCGCCGATACATTGGAGAGATCTGCATCGGTTGTCTCATCGGACGAGCTTTGCAGGTGGGATTACCACAGTTATTATTTCTTCAAATGAGAACAAAGCAGACTTAACATCGTACACATCTGATAAGCATTGAACTTTTGGCTTCAGAGATATTTATTTTTTTATTGAAACCATCTTAAATAAAGTCGGGATAAAGGTTTTTATGCATAGGTTTTCCTTTTAAAATTGAGTTTTTTGATTTTGAGCGTAGGATGTAAAATGTTGCAATGAAATACTGAATCACAACATTTTCACTCACGGACTGTTGATTTTTGGCGGTGCATTATGGTCTACTCTACGATGACTTCTCGTAACCACTCTCCATAATAACCCACCGTTAAACAGTTCGTGATCGTGTTAACTTTGGCCTCCGTGGTCTCAAAACCTTGCCGTGTTTACGTGCTGTTATGCTAGTTTGACCTTTGTCTTTTTGGAAATTACATTGACATCCACCGGTAGTTTTAATGGTTCAATACACTCATCTCAATCTTCCATTAAGAAAGAATCTTTTGACCTGCGGGATTCGAAGTGATGTCATTCTTGAAAATATCGATTACTTCCACTTCTATCTTTTAATGGACGCGGTCTACGTAGACGACCCCAGACTGGCTGTTTCATCCCAAAGCCTCCTGCCATAGGAAAAGGAGGAATTGGAAGGCATTCGATTGAGGCGCCTTTCGGAAGCGTACACGAGCTGTTTACCACATTCTGCTTACTGCTCGAGACACCAGCTCCCGTTTTCAGTAGGCAGCTTACACGTCAAGGATAATTAACATGTCTTTGTGTGTGTGTTGAGCAGTGGCCAAGTAATTAGGTACTTCAATCTTCTGGTTATGTGCAAGCAGTTGTCTAAGTTTGAATTTACGTTTTTAACTCCATTGCACAGCTGCATTACCCTATCTGTACGACCAGCTCAGTGAGTGAGTCTCAACGGCGAATATTACATGTTGACCGCCCCAACTTTGGTACGGATCCTCCACAACTCTTGTGGTTTTATGAAATTGAATTGGGCTTGTCTAATTAGTTTATATTCCCGACGAATTTAAAGTGTCGCGACTGGCAGCGGCTCAAGCACAAATACTGACTGGCACTAAAATCCTCCAGCTTGATATATAAAGTTGAGGCTCATACACTCCACGGAGAAAAGGTTGAACAATTATTTTTATTCATTTTTGTGCTTATATTACCATCCGCACTTAAGGAATGTCTAACCTTGGGGTTTTAGGCTAAGCGATGGGTTTTCGGCTCTGGATTTCCTTTTCCAATGGTCTCTCAAGGTCATAGAACTTCATGCAAATTTCCTGAACGAGCACATCGCCACCCTCCACACAGCCGTCAAAATCCTTCAGCGCATTACTTTGAGGTATGCTGTCAACGTCATATCGTCATCTGTGTTCAACTAATCCCTTTCTTACTGCAGGACCTCTTGGATAGCTGGTGTGCAGCATACCGATGTCACATTCGGCGTGCTCTTCCAAAGAACGACTTACCTGATCAGTTGCATTTTGGAAGGCGAGAAATGTGCTCGCCTGCATAGTGGCATTCTGTACTCTTCGTTAGCACTCTTGCACAACGCTCTGCTTCTACTGACTTCCGAGTGGCGAGGTTCAATTTCATCACTTGACACTTATTTGATTTCGCCATGGCTTTCTCAGCTAACGCATCAACGCTACAGCACTGAAGTCTGTGCCTTGCAAAGCTGCTACACAATACCTACTTCCTCTAAATAAAGTAGAATTCATTTTATTTGCTAACTTAGATTCGCTGTTTGGCTGTCACACTGCTTGCCCAGGCAGTTTTGTTTGACAATTTTGAAGAGGAATCTATTGACATTTGGAATACGGCTTTCTCTCTACTCTTGAACCCTACGGAATTGCCAAAGGTGCGGGCGGCTGCAGCTCATTTGCTTGCAAACTTAACCGCTCGCCTTAAAAAGGCTGACCTTTCTGTGGATTCAGGAATTTTTGACAGTCCTCTTATACCTACTTTTGTAGACCAACAAACACAGGTAAGGTGTTATCGTTATTGCTTAACCTAAACTTTCCTTGTACCACGTAGCTCTGTATCATTATTTTATAGATGCGTCTCTTTGGAACTGATGCAGTTCAAAGAATGTTGGAAGTGAATAATTTCTTTTCGATAATGTGTAAAATGTTAAGAAACTATTACGCCCTACCAGAACTATCTGAAGAAACGCCAAAGGTAATCTTCATACCATTCTAAGTCTATACTTCCTACGTTTTAAGAGTTATCTGTATGCTTCAAAGCTGTTTTCCTCGATAATGAAGTTTACTAGCAGCATTTTTGTGATGAATGGCTTGTTTTCTGCTTCATTTGTGGCAGTTGTGTTTAAATTTATGGCAGGACGTTGAAGGTTCTCAGAATGTGTCTCCTCAACCAAATCTCTGCTATTTTTCAACTCCCCTCCTTATCAGTCGAATTTGCACTTTCGTTGGAAATCTCTTTCACGCTCTTCCACCTGACTTTATTCTCAAAAATTTCGAAGAAAACCAGCTCTGCGTTGCACTGATGAGGGTCATTAATCCGAGTAGGTATATGAAATGGGTGACTGTTCTTCTCTCGTAAAAATTATTTTCTGTCAAGTTGGAAGATGTAAAAATATTGCTACCAGATAAGAAACAATGGTTCATTCACAATCATTTCCTTCATGCAAGAAACTCTGCTTGCTTTTTGCCTTGTATTTTAAAGTCCATTATTTTACTACAGGAAATTAATCTACTGAGTTTTTTATAATGTCAGAATTTTTGGACACTTTGACCCCCATAGTATCAAACAATAGCTCCATATTCTGAGGTTTTTAACTATTTCATTATTTTTGAGCTATTATTTTTTTAAGCAGTGGTTCAGGTTGTGGGCTTTGATGCCTCACCTCACCAGGGATCAAAAGCCGACACCTAGTAGTCCACCCGATAATATGATTACATCTGTCGCCACACCCCTCCTATTTCCATGCTTTTCATAAAGTTAGAAAGTCATACGCTTTTATCTTTTCCTTATTTCTGCGCTTTTTTCTAAAATAATTTGACTCTTAAGATTTAGTGCAATGCTTTTGCATCGTCCTTTTATTTACCAGAATTTGGGTGAATTTGACGAAAGGGCTCTTGCGGTTGCTTCGATTCATGCTTTTGGCTCGTGAGCAGTTGTTAATAATGTGCTACTTATGCGATTGGGATCACTGACTTAGAGGGAACATAATGTTTTCTGCGTACCATGAAAGTTGGTTCCCGAAAATCTGCTCACGCTTTCCTCTTTCATTCTCAAATCTGAGAGTTGAGCGCATTATTAGCTGTCTTTTTGCTTGCATTGCTATTTTTCAGAACTGCTATATCGTTTGAGTGGAAGTAGAGAGAATTGTCGTCCATGCATCATGGAGTGTATGGCGCAACGTCACTCGGCCTCAGCTTTTACACAAATTCTGCGGCTCTTCCGGCTCTTATTTTCCATCAGCCCACAACGGAAGCTCACCTTCTTATCCGATCTTCGATTTCTCACTCTTCTATCCGCCAGCTTCTCTTGTTTCTCACTTGGTGCGTTTCTTTATTCTCTCTCGCCTTTTATACTTCTGCCTCGACTATAGAAATCCATAACTTCTGCCAATGCATTTTCCTTTACCATATTTTACGTCGAATAGGAATTATAGCAATATTTCTATTCTATTAAAAATCCTCATGTATAGGTGTTTTCACTATGTGTTCACTTTTGGAATTTAATTTAGGTGGAAGTAACACAGTGTGTTAGTTTTATCCGTGGTACTCTAATCACTCTAAACGTCAATTAAGTTTATAGTTTACTGTCGAGTCACAAAATAGAAGGACTTGAAAATCTAATCAGTTTCTGCATTGTAAACAGTAATTCCATTCATTTTATTCTAATTCTCCTAATCACTTTTTATACCTGTAAATCCGTTTACTTGTTTAGACTCGGCTGACCTCAGGGATCTATGGAAGGAGACAATGCTCTTTTACATTGCTCTCCTAGAGCCCGAGACAGAAGGCTCGGCAGACTTTGTGCTGCGTCACGCTCTCCGCCCTTTAGCCTCACAGGTACACCAATGGGGTCCGCTCATCGACCAACTGATCCGTAGGGTGGTCGACCTCAACCGTACTTCTCTCACAGAAGGTGCTGCTTGTAATGAAGCGTCACGGTAAGTGATGGTTAATGCGACCTAATCCATTGTTTGTTGCATGAAGCTCTGCTTGCATGAAGAATGAGCTTCATAAGTTACTCTGATTTCTAATCATGCTAGGCTATGACGCAAATGATGTGCTTATTTCCCCATTTCCTGAGTTTGTATGGATAAACGTCATTTTGTTACCGGGTGCAGTTAATAATTTAAATTCGTCATTCGAGTTGCTACTTCCGAATTAGAAACTTCCTCACCTTTTGGATAGCTAACTCTACCTTTAGCTCTTTCGTTCTTGCTCAAAGTACTTCGACCTCACTACCTCCCTTCTTATGCCCGCAGCTTGCAAAATAATGTCATATACATCACTTTTCTTCCACTTCTGCCTTCCATTGATGCTGTGATTTTGTTTATGATAATGCGTTTGGCATGTTAAAGTAACAAAAAATTAGTAGAGAACTCAGAGTCCTTTCCTCTCATGCCATTCTCCTTTAACACAAAACCACACGGTCTACCACACCACCCAATAACGTCATCAACGCGCTAATGCATTTACTTGGTGGTGCGCGAATGCTCTGAATGTCTGTAAGGGTTCAACCTTAATTATTACGCCTGACAGACGGAGATTGCAGAAATTGGAGGCATTATAGTTTGTTTTTTATATATTTGTCCTGAAGTGGTCATTATTAAGAGGCCATCAAGGAGCACCTCTTTAAGTTGCTTTTCTCAAAATTTGTTTGTCTCAAGGCATGGATTCGAGCACTTGGTTATTGGTTCTTTTTCCTAGATTAAACTGTTTACGGCTGGTTTTCAATGTTCCGCATTCCTGTTTTTACTTTCACCGATTTCCTCCCGCTGAAATAGGCTTGAATTATGTTCCTACCTAAAATTTTTCCTCAAGGGTATTTCAGTAATTTGTAGCATTTTTTCGTCAGGACATGAAATCACACAGGCCGTTTTTTGTACATATTTTTGAGCTGCGTAGCAGCGTCAAAATATTAACTAGGTATTTCCTCTACTGCGATTTTATCATACTAGATAATGGGGGATTTTCCGAAACAGTCTATACTTCCTTGCTTTACATGGAATTAATTGTTTCTGCATCCTCGAGGCTATTGACCCAAAAAAAGCTTTTCTTCATTGAATACATACGATTGACTTATGTTCCGCTGAGTCGTTGAATCGCTTCCATCATACAAAGTTCTTTTTGATTGATTTACCTTACGATCAGTAAACGTAGCTGTATTCATCTATGCTATTCCCTCAAACCAGTTTCTGGGGTCCATTTTAATAGTCCTTAAATAGATTTCAAACTAACTGTCCACACATAGTACTGCAGCTTTTTTCTGTCATTTCAACAGCTTGACGACGTTCAATCTGCTCTACGTTGCACTCACATTCCTGTCCGTCGTTTTTTCACGATGCTTCTCGTACACTTTTGGAAACCAAAAATGGTCCAATGCATCTGGTTCGTCCTCCACCAATTCACCCTTAGCCGATCCAGTATCATCTGCTTTGAACTCCGTCGCATCTGGACAAATTGCTGAGACTCTCATCATTCTGAGAACATCTTTTCCACACCCTAGAATAGACCTGGATGGTGTTCTTCTTGACAGTGCATCCGGCAATGGTGGTGACCAAGAAAGTCCACACATGTTCTGGCAATCGGAGATCCACAAGCAGGCGGTGCACTCGGCGCTAAAAATACTATTTGGCACTTCATTTGCGGCCAAGAAGGCAGCTCTTGAAGGTGAGATGAGGATTAGTTGTGTATTTATTCTCCCAACTCTGCTGCTGTGTTTACAATAATAGAACTCTATAAGTCTGATTTATGCAAGTCTACCCTAGAATAAATTGTTATGACGTCGATTTTCTTGTTATGGGATTATCTCTTCAGGAAGGCACATTTAACTCAGGTGCTCTCTGGATAGATTCACCAGAAGTTTGCATCACATTATCTATCCGAGTTCATTGGCTAAGATGCTGCTTGAATAGTTTCTCCTCGATTATCAGTGTATTTTAATTGATAATTTTTGACCCATTGGTGTGAAAACAATTTGTGGTTGTTAGTTAGTTAAACACGGGCCTTTCATTAAGCATTTCTCAATAAATAGTAACGTTAAAAGCGTTCTTCATAGAGTAAAGCGGAGAAATAGGTTTGAATTTGCGATTTCATGGAGCTATGTCGTAGTTAGATTAAGATCTCACTGCTTAATCTCATTTGCTAACAAACAAATCGATAAATGGTTTTCATTCTTTTGAAGGTAGACTCCAGTACTATGTTGCTCAGTCCGAAGCAATTCTGTAATGAATAGAGTTTTGCAAAACGCTCTGCTTTAGTTAACTTATTTGTGTTATGGCATTATTTTTGTTGGAGACTATGGAATGGACCATGGAATTAATAAGCTTCACATGATTAATTCAGTGTCATTTCTGCAACAATAAGCTAATGGAACATTCTCCATGCTGTTCTATCTCATAAAGTCTATTCTAACTTCAATTATTTCAAGTTGTACCAGCACTTTTTTTTCATAAACAAATGGCAAACACTCAGTCGTCATGCTATTTGAGCTAACGGTAAACTGGTCATTAAGGTTTCGCTTTGAATACAGCATTAATAGTTTGGTGTCACCCAGCTGCTATCGCAATCTTATTACGCTTTCAACCTCCTAATCTAATCGATGTGCTACAAACTAACCCATCTACTCAGAGGTAGCTTTGATGGGCAGTTTTTTCTTGAAACTTTGGTGTTTCGGTGATTTTTCGCCATAACAGGCCATTTTGGACTGTTGAATCATCACCTTAATGCGGTGCCTCCTGCAAATGTCAGTCGAGTTGGAGTCAGTCTTTAATTAGCGACATTTGTCGCTAGTGTTAGGCCTTTTTGATTTTCCACTCACGCCCTTTTCGCATTAATAAATGGCCAAAGTCATCACACGATTTCTTTTTTGCAATAAAATTAGCCAGAAGAAATGGTGGATGTGCAATGCAGCAATGATTAAAGGCTGTGCAGCCATGGGGCAAGTCGAATAATTGATTTTACAGATAATTGATGATTCATTAATGCACAAGAATCTCTCATTTTACTAAAACTATTATTGGGTTGTTTTCTTCAAAAGCCTTCGTCTGGCTTGGCAAGAGTTGTTTGTTATATTTTAATATATTTCTCCCGTCAAATTAACAACATTAAATTACTTGATTTTTTTGACATGTGCCCATAACAGTATCGTTAAACCACATGGCTGTTCAATTGAGAACGTAAGTAGTATCGGTGTTTGTCGAAAACATATAATTTAGGTGATGTGCTCTTGAATTTGATAAATTGCTAAAATTATTTCACACAGAGAGGGAGAGGTTTAAAAGCGAGACAACGAGGCAAAAAAATGCAGATTTCACTAAATTGCGTTGACAAGTGAGTCACCACTTCAGCCTAGTTTGTTACATATGTTCGATCTCATTCCTGGCGTTCAATTTACTTTTTAACGGAACTCTATAAGCTTATGCATAAAAATTGTATGACTGCGTGCCTTTCTTCCTACAACTGGAAAAGTGGCTAGATCTCCATCAATGGCACCAAGCGTAAATTTATGCCAGTTTAGCTTTTGCTCTATCGTAAACGAATTGATTTGGTAGAATTGATCTCCTTTTAAGCAACACGGACTGCTGTTTTCTTGAGCCATGTAATCTCTTGTCGTAATGTTTCCTCATCCTAACAATCATTTTAATCCACTCAGTTGCAATCTACTTGGTAAAAACTGCTGGAAGGTAGAGTTGGTCTCTATTCGCAAGGTATTTTATGCTCACTTTTTGCGCGTGTGTGATCTAAGTTGCAGCATCTCCTGAGTGGAGGAAAAATCACATGGAAAATGATTAAGTAGATTGCTCCCGTGGAAATTTAGCAAAATCCTCAGTTTCTATGTCAGTCGCGATTTCGTCTTGATCGTAGCGGACTCCTTTCGGTACCACCGGTTTCTAAATAACAATTGAAACCTACCTATTTTTTAATTTTAGCCTTTGGGAAACGGATCAATACGCTACCCAAGAAATCAAATCTCAGGACAGCGCATTATGGGCCTTCTGTAATTAGCTGTCCAAAACTTACTTATAAGAGCTCATAAATCTAGTTACTCAAAAATAGTAGTGTATGCACCTAGGTGGCATTGTCAAATAGGGTCTGTTCAAGTGGACATCAATTCCGGTAGCAACAGCTGTTACGTTTTTTGAAAGACCGATTTGGCTTTTTAGCTAATTTTATGGTCACGATCTTTGACCACTGTCACAATCTGGTGGAGCAGTTGAACGCCATTCTAAATCATCCGAAGAGGCGGAGAATCACTGACTTAGCATCACCGTTAGCAGAAGTGCTACGTCCGAACCTGCTGAAGAAACGGGCCCTGGAGGGCCGTCAGCTGGCCTGGAAGTGTCTCAGTACCTATCTTTTGCGTCATCTGGAGCTGCTAGGCAACCTTATCTACGGCAGCTTGGAGGTTAAGCAAGCTGTCATTGAAGCTGGTTTTCCAAAGGCAAGCTGACATTGTCATTTTGAATTTTAATTTCTTCGGCTGACGCTATGAGATTCAATTCTGTTGTGGATTCATGATATCGGCGATTTGTGCCTTGAGAATTTAGCTGACCAATTCTTACTACAATGTGAAAATCGGGTAGCAGATTTGCTGAAGTGAAAACGCTAACTGCTGAACTTTGACCAGCACTTATCTGAGATCGTTCTCGCTTAGAACGTTGTCTAGACGGATGATGATGTGACACATTTTTGTATTTGCCGAGCAAAAACAGCGGAAAGAGGAAAAGAGGAACATAAAAGTCATTATTACAAGCTCTTAAAAAGTTCGGACCTCAAGAATATGACACGAATAATGTTTTTGTCTTGTGTCATTTACTCAATTACGAGGCGTGGCTGATAAATTCCTTAAAACAGTCAATGTTCAGCCGCATTACATTCATCAGCTTAACCCATCTCAACCCAATTTGGTCGGAAAAGGTTGAAACTCTTCAACAGGACTGCTTCCCAGCTCTTTAGCACCTCGTTTGTAATTCTCGAAAACTCAAATATTTTTTGGACTTCCTAATAAGTAGTTGTCATTTCCTCATGCAATAAAATTGTTAGAATCGTTACTGTGACTGTTATTATTGGTCTTGTAGTTGGTACTGGACATCTGGCCACTGGGACTCACCGACAATCGAGTGATGCACAACCTTCTCTATTGTCTCATCAACCTCTCTGCTGATTCTTCCTCAGTCTTCAGCGTCATTTTTACCGCCACCACCCCCGCCATTTCTTCATTGTGTGGCGAAGTGTCTCAAACATCTCCCTGTGCTCATCCTACCATCGGTATGTTTTTTCTCTTCCTCCTTTCACCATTTTTATAGGAGATGCATTGTGTTAATTTGGTATTCTTTGTTATCGTTATAATAGCGTTGATTCACCAGCTCACCGTCATATGATTCAGCTACTCGTTTTGTGTCTATTAAATTTTGCATTAAAGGGCGCCATTGAGCACTTCAAAGCAATACTTTCACCACAAGTAGACGGAAAGTCGATTATTTATTTTTTTTTGGGAAGGATGAGGTATGCTTAGTTCATTGAAATGCACATAGGCGATGCTGTTTTCATAGCGTTTATTTTGGCACAGTTTTCCCAGATTAATTCTTTGACCTAATTTTGAAACCAAGTATTCGGTCTTACCGTCTTATTTGCCATAAAGATTTTAGCGGAGATGTGTGTTCCGGTAAAGTGGATGCATTTGTGTTGAACATTTTATCACAGTTAGGCGCGAGAACGCTGTGAAAAAGGGCAAGAGGTTATTACGCTTAAGGTCGTAAAGAGGTGGCTTTATCGTAAACATGGCACAATTTTGTGAGTTTCAAGAGATGTTCCCATTCCTACACAGTACAACATGAGTTTATCCCACCCATAAGTTAACAGTTAAATGACAACCTTAGTGATTCGTACATAGCTTTGAAGTCATTTCGTACAAGTACAATGCCGGTGTGTGTCGTAGGGAGGTGGCCACAGCACTAGGTCTGTATCGGAGCAGCGTAGAACTGTGCGAAACGTCAGTGATTGGTGATTTTTATCAACTGTGGACTGTAGAGCGTATTACTGGATGACCTTTCTTTAAACCGACCCATTGTTGGTGGCAAATGTGCTGTAGGTAGGGGAGGCGTTCAGATTTTTCGATGTCTGAGTTGGAATTCCGGAGCAGAGTTAAAGTTGAGGACAATCGGTTTGACTTCAGGGTCAATAATTTTCTTTTGAGAAACTAGTTCCATTGAGCTACTTTACTGACGTTCTAACACTTTGAGGAAGTGTGTAATCAGCTAAAAACTTGATTCTCTATTTTGACACATAAATGCGCGATTTTACCATTTTTTCACGGAAATGTGTATGACTTTTTGCACTGAGAAACCAAATTTTCCTTTATTTAAGTACAACTTTTTAGAAATGAGATTGGCTCATTGCTAGCATATATATCCTCAAGGCTGCAAAAGGACTGAAATAATTCCGTTGAGCATTTAATTATTTGCAATGGTAAGAGAATCAGAATTTTCGTAAAGTAAATTTCTGAAGTAATGTTTGAGTGAAACTTACACTGTCCTTTATTCTTAAGAACGTAGTGGATGAATTAAGCTTTGCCCAAAGAATTTCTAAATTCAGTTTATCAAGTCATCAAGTATGATGTTACCATCTTGTTTGTCAAATGAGTCGCTTGTGATTTTACACACACTGACTACACATTCATTGTTCTAATTAAGCTGCCAAATCGGAAATAGAGTTGTTTAATTCAACTTTGATTTCATCTACCTTAGGTGTGGCCTGATCATCACTTTACTTTGTCCAGTGTTTAATTTTATAACCCTTGTAACTTTGGTAACACTGAGCCCTTTCTGCTCTAACATCTACTTAAATAATATGCCATGATCTCTAGTCCCTGATTACTCGCAATTTTTATGCTTTTATGCTTTTTATACTAATGAACCTTTTACTGTGCTAATTTAACGCATCAATTAAATGATTTTGTCATTAATAGTAAGTCCGAAAAAAATTTTTTCCTTTTAAGTCCTGAAAATGTTTGCTTCCGGTTATTTGATTTGAAAAGAAAAGTTTGCATTATAAATACTTTAACCGTTCATGGGATTTTCCATTTGACATACCCTAGGTTGAGTAATTCAGTTCATGTATACCGCTTTAAACACTGACACTGCTTCTGCCCAAACATCAGTGCACTTGTATGGGCGCAACCGTCACCAGTAATCACCTTTCCAGTCGACTCAGGAACTCAGATGTCAAAAGAATCGTTATTGTGATTCAAGTAAACTTTATAATTGTAGATGCTTAATGGGTCCTTAGCAATTTTCGCATTGTTGAAAGCATGTTTAGCCACTGCTTTCGTCTTAGGCCATCTACTCGCTCAATAAATACTTATCTGGCAAGGTCCTCCTTATAGCCGTCAATGACATTTTCACCCTCTCTATTTGGTTTTTCACATGTGCTCACCATGTCTCGTGTAATGTTTTGTGTTTTGCTTCAAAATGTCGCGCTAACATGCCATCACGTTGCAAATCGTTGAAAATTATCTCAAGTAATTTAGTCTATTTCGCCATCATTACGTGCATGACCGTACCTTTAAAGGTGCATGTCCATGTTTCTTTGTTCCTGTGGTGCCACAACTTTCCCCTTTACAAGGTGAAGCCTAATGGTGTGGGGTAGTGAATAGCCTGTTCCACAATCCCGCAGCGTCATTGTCACGCCTTGTACTTTGTCAGATTTTTTTTAGTGATCGCAATTTTTCATCCCACTGCCTTTTCTCAATCAACTAAACTTGACGCTTTTTCATCCTTGTTGTGGCAGCTGCTTTTTTACATTAATTTTGTTTTCCGGTGTTCGCCCATTTATTCAAATCGTAGGCTCCTAAGTTTTCCTTTTTTGACTGACGAAATCACACTTCCCAAGTACAAACATTCTTGCATTGCCCTTCATTTTGGAACTTCCTATTCGTAGTTTTGCACCCTTATTTCCTTTAACTTGAGCTATTTTTCTTCTCATCCGTAATATTTGGCAAAAGATAGTGCTAGTTCCTGTCTACTTGACTTTATTACCATGAATTTGATCTTCATGCCCTTTCTGTTGTTGTTTGAAGCTCGATTGCGCAAATACCACATTTGAGTTAAAAGCAAGACATTTGGCATTATTTCTCACCGAGAGTGAAATTTAATTTGATTTCAAGGCAACCATACAAATTCTCAATTGCTTCGTTGATGATACTAAGAGGCCCTTAGAGTCAATAGACGTGGAGACAGTAAGGTTCTAGTTTTGTTTCCTAAAAATTGGGCTATTTTCTTAAAGTTTTTGTTGCATTAGAGGGGGGCTGTCAAGTTCGAAAGTGCTTTTTGAGCTTAAATTGCTTTTTCGTAGGGGACGGACCTATTTCATTTCACAATAACTCGGCGTGCCTTTTTGGGAAATCTTTTCTTCTTTCACCTTAGTTGCATTTGAAGATTTGAGCACAACAATTTCATCGAAAGTGCAAACTCAATATTCAAAGGCGAACTTATGCATACCTGTAAAGTTTCTCAAGATCAACCTTTTAACACCTTGTTTGTGCTCTTTGCGGTCCATTCTGCATGGGGTGGTGTGGTTGTCATAATTCTTCTCAATTTTCTAGCCCAATAACATCTGCGCTGCGCTAAAGCACTCGTTTTCTTGACCTTTTTTAACGTGGCTCTCTTAGTTATCTTGCTATCGCATCACCATTTATGTGTATACGGAAATGCTGCCTGGTGGCCTCCCTTAGATGAAAGCTTACCGATTAATTGCTTCGTCAAGCTCTTCGTTTTTGGTTTACTGCAGCACGATTCTCGTTTTGTATCATCTATAATTCATAAAATTTCTTTAGAGATTTGAGATGTCGACTCTACCAGGGATTTTTACAAGTGGGGCTTTGCATATCATTCCAATTCTATGACTTCTCTTCCTCCTCTGTAATTTGCCACCAATGCGACATGTCTTTTCTAAGTCAAAAGGGACTGAAACGCTTTAGGCTTTATTTTTTCTGTGTCACGTGCATTTTCATTTGCTGATGATCGGTCAAATTCATTTTGGATTTTGATTTACATAATTAGCTCGATTCAAAGCAATAACTCATCGAATCTTTGCTGCTTTATTTCGTTTCTCCCTGACTGCTCTGAAACGTTAGTCCTAAGTGTTTGTCGAAATGTACGATGCACATCCACAAACAAAAGTCACAGTTTTCATTAGCTTTCTATATGGGAGCGTATTTTATTTACACTCATCAACTTTGTGGTTCCTAAGTATTGTCTCAACCGCAGGTTTACCGACATTTAACCTTCTTTCCCTTTTTGGGTCCATTTATTTGTTATTATTTTAGAACTTGTTCAAAAATTATATTTCGTGGGCCACTAGCACCACTCTCTGAGCTATAATCCTTACAATATCGACTGCAAGTCAATGTGGAACACAGCACAATGGCATTACTAAACCCTACGTTAAGCATTCTCAAAAGGGTCAGACTTTGGTCAAGGAAAAGAAGGGAGCTAGGAGCATGAAAGCACTATCATAGTCGTTTGACTGGGGAAGAGGGGGTGAGATTACGCGTTGGTCTCCAAAAGAAACTTTATGTACATATGCCCATGCGACCTTTTCACGGTATGGATGTGTCAAGTAAGGGAGCTTTTTTCACTTTTATGACATCCTTTTTTCCTCCCTCTCCCCCAACAGGTTTGAATGCATGACTCAGGCGCCGAGTTTGGATGTATATATCCCATATCTAGTGAGATTCTCCAAAAGCATCCTCACGACGCAGAATGTCGTTTTGTTTAATTTCCGTTTGAGTGATTGAAAGCCTGTCGCTCGTCAACACCGCAACGTGCAAATGGTTTCATTCCTGTTCTGTTATTTTTCTCTTAGAGGTATCGAGGTTTTCTATTGGTTGTGTTTAATCCAAGTCTCTCCATTCCGAACCTTCTAGTGGGCTCACTGCTAACAGCAGGGTTCATTTTACTGCACCTTTCTCTAATCTATTTTGAAGCTGTGAAATACTGAAGCTTTATCTATCTATTGCTTTGAAAATCGAAACAGATTTCACTCCTTCGACGGGTTGTGGATGATTCCATTGAGGTGTACAATTGTTCGTTTCCAGCCTTCTGTGTTTTCTTTTCAGATTTGGTAAAACTATGTTTTTTTTTCATATTTTGATTTTCCATACAAATCCTCACTTCTGCATTCCCATATGCACCGCTCTGCCACAATTCTTTTGTGCAAAAGTTTTCATTCAAAGTCGATGGGTGAACTAAACATACTTTAAGTTTTGGGGCTTTTTATTTAAAATTAGCATTGCTAATCTATCGATGCTTGAACAGTTGTAGCCCTTAAAAATTCAGAAATATCATCGTAATATGTTGCCAAGCCGATGATTTGTTAATCGAACAACAACTAACGCATGCCATGCTGTTTCTGAAATAAAATTTTATCGTTGGCACATGGCCTGATCCTGCGTAAGAACTAATCAATAGGAAGCAAATGTGCTTTGCTTTGCTGCGGGTAGGTTCAGAATCTTGTATTATTAGCTGTTCATATTGATTTTGGTAGGTTTGAAGAACCATTTTCATTTGCTTGTTTGTTCGATCGACGAATGTTGTCCAAGCTATTTAACAGAGGCCTTTTGATCCCACTTTGATCAAATGTTGTATCTAGGGCAGTGATTTTCGATGTTGCTGCATTTAATCACGTTTTTACATAACAGTTCGGGTTTTTCACACCTATGAATGTTATAGAAGGTATCATACATAGGAAAGGCAAACAGAAAACGTCCCGTTTAAAACTTTTGCTTGTTTTCGAATTTCGTCTATCTTTTTCAACCTCATATATTCTTAGCATAATCATTCACGGCCAATACAAAGTAGTACTTTTCGATGCCATTTCTGGATGTACACAAAAACAATGACACGAATTCGGTAATTTCCTAGTTGATTCATTATGCGTCAACAAACGACGATAACAGTACCACTGAATGGAATTGTCTCCACTCCAGAACCTACCAACGGCAAAAAGGCATTTGTCAACTATATGTGATGCTATCTCTTAGGCAATGGTGACTTATACGGAAAGCAATGTGAACTCGCTCACTGAGGTAAATAAATGGAGGATAATGCCTTTTTGACTACTTCAAGTATTTTCTATTTTCCACGCCTCCCCAACCCTAGGTCGTTAATCTCGTCGATAATATATATATATTATTGAAATAGGAACACACAACCCGTCACTAGTAGAAAGGCCTAAAACGTTCTATTCACGAGACATCTTTCATGTATACTCTTCATAATTTCCACAAAGTAGAGCATAATTGAGAAGCAAGTTCGCAAAAGGAGAGATCGTGAAGGCGGGTATGGGTGACTGGGTTACTGACTCAGTGCCATTTCTGGTGATCAAAACAAAGATGTAACTTGAGGTAAATTGCTGAGTTAAATTAGCAACGCAGACTCGACAAGCGGGAGGAAGAAAATGAAGGTAGAAGTGACGGTGATAGCCAAAATGACTCATTCTCTGGGCATTGGTAACGGGAGTTAGAGTAAATTTGTAGCTTTAAGAAAATCTCCCCCCCCCTCTTCCAAAAAGTGCCTTCTGCCGACTTTGGCGACGTCTGGCTAATTAGACTCGCCAATGTGTGTATGTGTGACTAATATCCAAGTGGAACCCTCTTTTAGTAGAATTTTAAAACTTTAACTTCTCCTGTCTCTCCTTGCTAATCACCTCGTCAACACCTTTTGACGTTCAAGGTTTGTATTAGATAAGGGTGAGTGTGTGTGTGTGTATGAACTAATGCTCAAAACATTGCGAATGAGGTTATGTAGTCCTTAACAAGCGCTTCGGTGGTAGCAAATTCTTGGTGGAGTTTGCCGTTTTCATTTGCAAAATTATTGGGAAGAATTCAGGAAGTTCAGCTTCTGATTGACAAACCAGAGACACCTTTCTGTATTCAAGATATGTTCTTTTTTCCGAAAGTTGTCATTTAATGGTCATTTTAGAAGACGCGAATTCCAGCTCACCTTTAAATTTTCCTAAATGTCTGTTGCTGATTTCAACAACCTCGGGGTTATTTGTGATACTCCGTGCCGATGATGCTGAGGTCGACGCTATACTCCTGAAAACGAACTGTCTCTCTTACTGGCAATTTTCCCATCGCTTCCTTTCAAAACCTCTGTTCGTCTTTACATAGCAGTACTTGCATATCCCTTTTAAGGTTTCGTCGCTCTCCGTTATGTATGATATTTCGAACAACATTCAGTATCAATTTTAAGTTATTTCGCCTGACCTTTGGTGCAGATTTAACATTACTCACTCTCCTCCTAATTGTTTCATAATATAGCCATCCTGCTCAAATTGAGGGCTCATCACTTGAGAAGAGTTTCGCTTTCCTTACAAAATCGGTAAACGATTTTGTTTGATAAGAATTCTTTCATTTAGCATTACAATATTTAGCATGGGTTTTAGCGTTCGGTTCTTCCGAGTTGAACCTCTTCACAAAACTTCAAACTTATCAGAAATTCTGGTGACATATTGTCATTTATTGCTTTGATTTAAGGCTAGGGCTTGCAAGGTTGATAGTACGCTTGAACACCTGCCGCCAGCCTTCAATATTCCATTCTCTCTGTTTAGTATCAATTCTGATGGCGGGAAGGGGTTCTTTGATGAGGTATATGGAGCGTCTTCTGCACTATTCACTCACCTGGTACAAGCACAACTGTGGCTCGGACCATTCCTCGTACAGTGATGACTACACCTGCCACCAACAATCGCGATCCATCATGTCCACTAACAGCTTGCGTGAACTCATTTTACACCAGGTCTTCGAACTCCTCTCAAACCTTGCTTGCCACGTCGACGCCTCGAGTTTCTTCGCCAAAGTATGCGATAATTTCTAACTCCATCTCTTTTCGTTTCTTTCTTGTTCTCTTGATGCTCCATTACAACACTTACAATATCGTTGTCCTTATCTTCAAATTTATTTATAGCCAAAGATTTGTGTCACTGCATTTGTATTGGGGAATAACTGGCTTTCCTTACAGAATTTCCAAAAAATTATTTTGGAGGGTTGTAGGGGCTATCAGATGCCTCGTAATAAATACTATTCTACAGTGCTAATAACACCGATTGGACATTTGTGACTCAATGCATGTTGTTTAAACTTATTCCTTTTCTCCTAATGGAAATTGCTGCTATCACTGCAAAATTAAATTAAATTATTTTTTTTATTTCTTCAACATTATATTCTCAGCTTAGTATTTATGTAATAGCCATTAAAAAATCTTCCATTTTTTTTTAATTGAGATCAAAAGGGCCATGCATTAAGATGTAATTTGTTAAGAAAATAGATCATCATTACAAATTCTTTAAAAATATGTTAATATTTTGGAACTTCTTCTAATATTTTAGACACATATCTGTTTATTTATAACTTGTGTTGGTTTTTATCTTCATGGAGGTTAGTAATTTCTAAATTACTAGTAATCCTGTTTGAGCTTTTATCACTGAATTCTTTGCAAGCTCAACAAAACATCCTTATTGTGTCTAGGACGTTTCTGATTAGGTGTGAAGAGAATGATATTCTCCTACCGTCTTATTTGCCATAAAGATTTTAGCGGAGATGTGTGTTCCGGTAAAGTGGATGCATTTGTGTTGAACATTTTATCACAGTTAGGCGCGAGAACGCTGTGAAAAAGGGCAAGAGGTTATTACGCTTAAGGTCGTAAAGAGGTGGCTTTATCGTAAACATGGCACAATTTTGTGAGTTTCAAGAGATGTTCCCATTCCTACACAGTACAACATGAGTTTATCCCACCCATAAGTTAACAGTTAAATGACAACCTTAGTGATTCGTACATAGCTTTGAAGTCATTTCGTACAAGTACAATGCCGGTGTGTGTCGTAGGGAGGTGGCCACAGCACTAGGTCTGTATCGGAGCAGCGTAGAACTGTGCGAAACGTCAGTGATTGGTGATTTTTATCAACTGTGGACTGTAGAGCGTATTACTGGATGACCTTTCTTTAAACCGACCCATTGTTGGTGGCAAATGTGCTGTAGGTAGGGAAGGCGTTCGGATTTTTCGATGTCTGAGTTGGAATTCCGGAGCAGAGTTAAAGTTGAGGACATTGGGTTCCGTCAACTGTATCAGCTACGAGATAGTGAGGAATGGTTGTTGCATTCAACTGATGATGGAGATGTCTGCAGCTCGGGAAGACGTTGTCTTTTAGAGAGAGCATTATGGAGAGCCTGGCGTCGTACTTGATTTGCAGCAGGACGTTAAGGTGGAATTTAAAGAAACCCATGGTTGGTACGAGGTCAAGGGCAATCAGACGTAGCAATGAGGCGAGGTTGAAACCTCTCTGAGGCATTGACAGTGAAGTAGGTGTCAAGTGCACTCAATACGTATGCTTAATTCGGTCGTGGACGTTGGGACGTAGATGTCGATGTCTTTGTGCTCTGGTTGGGAGTTGATGACTGGTGTCATGGTTGCGCAGATTAGTACAGCGTCGAACGACCTTGGTTTTGGTGAGTATGGGGGCGTGAGGAATTTGATTTGTATCTTGCCATGATGGTTGTTGAAATTGAGTGCCAATAATTTTCTTTTGAGCGACTAGTTCTATTGAGCTACTTCATTGATGTTGTGAGAACACTTTGAGGTGTATAATCAGTTTAAAAAATAAGCTTTTTGTCTTGGCGAAATCCTGCTTAGCTAGAGCACATTGTAAATCTAGGTGGCAGGTTATCGTCTTGCCTCACATCCCAACATTTGTAAAATTTTAACGTTCGCTGTTTGCAACTCGCACTTGCATGTTTAAAGTGAAGGCATACATGTGCGCAGTAGAAACAGATAAGTGCTCGAATTCAGAACACGCTTCCAAAAAGGCTATGCTCGCCCTATCATCAGAGGGGGATTTCTCATTTTTGACATTCAGTAACCTCTCGTTGAACGCATCATTCCTGCGATACCACAGTTTTATGCAAGTTGGAGCGCAGTGAACTGTAACTTCTGGTGTTGAATGTCTTGCTTTACTCAGCATTTTTAAGATTTCTACACATTTGATTCCATTTAGCTCCTTCATGACGTTTTATAATCGAAGGATAGAGGATCATGGTAGAGTCTCCATATTTGTGATTTTCGGTTAAAACGTGTTGGCCTTAAATGGACTGGCCTTTTGACCAGTTTGGTCTAGGATATTATTTTAACGCTGCTATTATAGTGCACTTAGAAGTACCTGTAAGTGTGTAGAGGAATTAACTTTTGTGAGCTTCAAATACTTATTTGTTGTGTTATTTACGACTTGTTTATCACAATCACTCGACTTTTGGCACCAATATCGGGTCGTCCCAAAAGGTTTTGTGACGGAACACTGCTAATGCATTTATTCGTCAATGAATTACGTTTTGGCTTTATTCTTGACTTGAACGAAAGGAATGTCAAGCTTGCAAGGATCAGTTTCGAACCAAATTGTTCTCTCGGTTGTGTGACTGCTTCGCTCCTACTCCGCTTTAAGGCAATCTTCTCGATTAATTTCAGCATCCTTTACAACTCTTTGATTGTTCTTTTTAGGTTAAAATGCCTTTTCAGTTAAGCTTAACAAGTTTCCATTTAATTTGCTCACATTTCTTAAAGTTTGATAAGGTTACTGCGATGCTAATCAACGACTCCCTAACTGTTATATACTTGTAATTTTCACGAGAAAGTCTATTGTTAGGTACAAAAACATTTGGACGTTTGGGTCCTTTTCACCTGTCCCCCATCACCTGTTTCTCTAATTCTCTCTGCAGGCGAAGATTCTCTCGCACTTTACCTCACTGGATGCAAAGGTTATTGCTCGAGTTCCCAAGGGTCAATATCTCCAGCGTCTGTGGCTTCGTTTCATTGCCAATTTGACACTTACTCGTGAAGGCCAATCACTCCTTTTGAGCCATACACGTAAACACATCTAACAATTACCTTTTGCCCGCACTTCCTAGTAAACTGGATCGGTCTTCAAGGGTTAAAGATTTAGAATTAGTTTTGTCATTTTCAACCACAACTTTCAATCTGCATTGAATCAATTTCTCTTTCACCATCCAATTAGTTGTGATGGCTTCATATGAGTGACTTCCTCATTTTGCATGTGGAACATTTCAGCTGCGAACTAACAAGTACTTCATTTGTGAAACGTAATCAGAGCTAAATAAGTGCAGTACCAGTCTCAGGTCTCAGTTTTTCCCTGTTCAATTCTGAAGAATGACCAGAAAACCAATTCTTTGTTTACAGGATTTGATATATAACAGTTAATGGCATCTTGAGGCTCCTGTGTGATCGCATTTTAGAATGCGAGATGTTTGCTTGTTTTGCGTTTTGCGCAGTGACTACTGCTGTCTACCACTGTTTTACTTCGTTTATAAGCAATTGGAATTGCAGCCCTTGGTTATTTTAATGAGTCTTTTAATTAAACTGATAGCGTGCCTCTAAAGATTTGCACAAGTATGAATTATCCTCACATTTTCACTGACAATTGATTTTTCTCTGCTGGCACTTGTGCTATGTGAGTTTTACAAAGCTTCACCTATCGTCCACTTCCCTTAACGTAAAAGCCCACTCAGAGCAGCACTTAAGTTAACACCAAATCTGGATTACTAACGTGATCAACCCGTAGTCCTAAGTTCTATAAACTGATTGACACCTGCTGGTCCCTTTTATTTGCACAGACTTTCGTTTGTGACATTTTACTTGGGTATCTGAGATGCGAAAGGGGGTTGAAAATTCCTCCTTTTCTCCCATTTTCACCATACTGAGGGTTTATGCGTTTCCTGTCGCCAACATTTTATGCGATTTCTCCATCTATGCGCGTGTGTGAATTTGACCTTGCACTGTTCCTGCAGGCGCAGTTGAGGTGCTAGTGGATCACGTGAGGTCCTGCTACGACGAGGAGGCTCGGCGGTTGGCTCTCCTTGGTATTCAAAACCTCTGTGGCAATGCCACCTTCAAAACATATCTCTACAAAAAGAGTAAGTACTTGATACTGGCTTCCCTGTCACTTGCCTAATTAATGGGTGAAATGCACTATTTAGGAATATTAATCAATCCTGTGTAAGCATTTCGACTGGCACTATTTGGTCTGAATGCCATCCTCTTATTATTGCTGGCATTTTTTAACGCATTTACTTATCGGTAAGCATAGTATGTTTTTTGAAATGCGAACTTATCATTTTTACCCCAACTGACAATAGTGTTCATTTTTATTGCTGATTTTAAGGAACCATTTAAAAGATCACCTATAATTGCCTTACACTTCCAGCAGACCATCAGGAAATGTTGTAGTCTAGAAATCCAAGTTCTGGAACTTTGTTGATAAATTACCTTTAAGAAATGTAATATAGTTTTCGAAATTGATGCAATATAAGAGGATGATGAGTAAAATACCGCATTGAATTTTGCTAGTGCTGCTTAACTTTAAAGATGTGTTAATCTGTAGTTCGTCCGTTTGAAAACCAGTTCTGTTAGAATACAGGTTTGTAAAGGGGTTGAAAGAGGTTGGCTTTTGAGCTTCACAAAGAACAAGCGGTCAATGGAGATCGTCATGGGGGTCCTGTAAAATTTATGCTTTAGAAGTCAAAATATGGACTTAAAATGTACTTTGGATGATATTTCACAGACTGCTTCCTTTGCAAATATGAGAAAACAAAGCTTTGGGCAGAAACAAGCTTTCTTAAACACTTTTAACACGTATTTTAGTTACGGTATATAGTCCGATTCGCTCAAAACCATTCATATGATGAACTGATGATGGGAACGTGACACAAGGCAGCAGCAGAAGGAAATCGAAAGCAACAGTGGGCCGATTGAATAAGGTTCAATCTTTTATGCCTTGCTGAAGGTAATAAAGCGAAACTGCAAAATAACTAAATCGCACGTCATGATACTGTTTGCTCTAGGTCAGAAATCTGCCGTCATTTGTTACCTCTCATCGGCAATTGCCAGTTTTGGTGTTTGCTGCATAACTTGCCAACCACAATAAATAAAGTGCAAAACGATTCTCTTTATCGGCATGACTGACGTGGAGGAGGATGCATAAGCTTTCTTAGGGTCAAAATTTCAGCAAAATTACGTCCTACCTGTACGCAAATAACACAGATGCATGTCGAGGAGAGATATAATTATTTTTAGCATCATCAAATTGGGGAAGGCCAATTTTGGACGCAAGCGATATTTTTCCTCATCACTACAAATTTCTCTTACTCCTGCTGCCACTTTTTCCGGTGTGAGTCATTTGGACCAGTATTATTTCTCCTTCTTCTACTTAACTGACTTTTTGGTTGCAGGACCTTTGTCACCATTGCAGAGCATGAGTATGGACTCCCTTGGGAATCCTTTTTGAATTTAATTTCTACTTTAATCTGCGGAGGTGCTACCTTGCATTGTCCTTGAAACTACTCCGCTTGTTGGAGTTCATTTTTCTTCTAAACCAAAAAAAATAAACTGTGATTTTTTGCAACTTGTAAATGAGTGCATATTTAAAGATACGCATAGAATGGATCTCCTCAACTCTGCACTATCCCTTCAAGTGTCTTGAGCACTTAAATTTTCTTGTATTTATGGGATTTGAAGTTCTCGTCAATGTCGTGTATCATTTTGAATGTAGCGCTGAAAGTTTTGCGCTTCTAACGAGCTAGACAATCACAATCCATCTTTTTCAAATAGTGGATGAAATTGAAGTGCGTGAAATAGAAGGAATAAAAGTTGTTCGCGATGTAATCTCTGAATTCTTTCTGTCTAATCACTAAATACCATAGCTTTTCCTACACATTTTTCTTCATTTTTCAACTAAATCTATGACTCGAAAGCCTGCAAAATTTCCCTGACATTGTCTCAACTGGACGAGCTTCCATGCATTTTGAGAAAAGTCAGACTGTTTAATAGAAGTGGTAGTGTGGCTTTTCTCAATTTTAGTGCGGTCTTTACAGGATGAATAAATCGTTTGAAAAGGAAATGCTTAGTGTTGAAATAAGTTAATGAATGTGACATTTTTACTTCGTGAAGCTCTTAAAAATGTCCTAATTAGAGGATGTGACAGTTGTTTTTACTTCAACATGCCTGGTCAAAATGTGTATCCAACGTCTAACTGCTTCAATAGCCAATGAAATTACCTGATTTGTAGTTTGAAGTGAGATTGGGACGCGTTCACTTTCGCACGAAAAGTCCCGCCCCTTTTGAGCATTTCGTTTGAAAGTATGGGATGTTGAAACAGTGAAGACGGCTTTTTACCACTACATTGAGTAAGCTGGAATCAGCCGAAAATGGCGAATTATAGTGGAAATTTGGAACTTGACATCCACTTTTTTAGGCGCTCAGGAGGTTATTGGCTTAAACTTCGGGAGAATTTCATGTAGAAAGGTTGGAATTGTGTCTTATTAAGGAAAGCATTTATGCGCAGCGAAATTAGGGGTTGTCAAAAGCCTAAGAACGTTTTTATATCTTCTTGTCCGTCAAAATCAATTGAATTTGATGGAGAGGCAGTTATGAAGTTAAGTGGTCCATGTTGGGAGGAAAGTGGAAGATGGTATCTGAGGCGATGAATTTTCCAACTAAGAGCCGTTGGTATGAAGTTGAGTTACAATAATGAAACTGAATTCGACTGAATGAATACGTTGTTTAGAATATTTTAATCCACATAAATAAATAAAATCACAGTTAATCAAAACAGGGATTGTAAACTAGGCTGCGACCCCTGGAGATGTGTTCTTCTCCAACTTCAAACATTTTTTTTTTTCATCTGTGGACATGTTATAGCTCTCCCAATTCGGTGACATCGTATGGCCAATCGTTTTGTGTCGCCGGCTTTTCAAAAGCCATCTTTTGCAGTCAGTGCTTTTTTTACTCATCTTGATCTTTTTCTTGATTAATTTGTCCTATTCTTTAGGTTATGAATCCTGCCTAACTTTCGCCTTTTTTAGGTAGTGGTGTAACGGAAGTTCTTGCCAATGCTTTGGAACCTACTACGCTCTCCTCCTCATTAAACAGTGTAGAAATTCTTTTACTTGCACTAACGGCACTCAGTAACGCTGCATACAGTTGCACAAAGGTTTGTTGACTTGTTTTATCCTCTCCGTCTTTGTCCATATTCTTCCCATGCTATCCAGCGGACGAATAGATAAATTGACGACTAGGCTAGGGAGGGGAGTTAGGTCGTTAATAAAATTTACGCATTCCTGGCGCGCGTCTAAGTTAGGAAAAGTGCGCCTATTTTGCTTGGAGTCTGGTTGAGAGGAGAAAAATTTGTCTTCATCTTGCGGCTTCTTTGGCTATTCGAAATTTTACTTGAAAATTAGATCGTAAAAGCGTTGTTGCCTTTAGCCACAAAGGCGAAATGTTTTCATTTTGAGATTGCTCTGATCCATTTGCTGATAGGAGCGTTGAAGATTTGGTGTTAGTTAAATAAATACTACTACTACTAATAATAATAATGAAAACGCCACAATCCTCTAATATTCCTGGAAGAAAAGGGGAAGATGTGAATTAACTTGGACTGGTATGCAGAAGTGATGGATTATCCTCAGCCTAACTTTTGTTACTCGTTAAGGCTTCCAGAATGCTGACTTTTGCAAAATAAAGTAGTATGTGGTGGACGGTATTAGTGGACGCTAAAAACATCCATCGCTTATTTCCTTTTGCTTTGGCCAGACAATTCAGTGCATTCGTTTACTGGTGAAACCGGACCTGCAAAGTGGTTTTTCAACTCTTGCAGACAGATTTAGATAACTTTGATCCAGATCACATTTTTTTGAACAAGGACCTTCAGGTCTTTCTGAGTACTGCGAAAACCCCGCTCTATTGCTGTTTTGAGAATTGTTACAGTGGTTTTCATTTAGCTGTTCAATATTATCTTCCTGAAAAGTCCTAGTCACTCCTTTCTTTCCTATGAACAGCTATCCAGTGGTGAGGAGATCAAATTTGCAACTTTATTTTTACGGTGAATTCAAATTTTGTTGTTTAATTTCAATAGGTTTTTTTAAGAATAATCAGTCAAATTGGTACGCATGCAAAAAGGCTGCCTAGAATAGGTTAAAGTTGGAAAGCATTTAACACTTCGATGAGAGATAGCAAGCATATTTTTAAATATGCAAAAGTAGTTTGCGTATATCCGTCTAATCAGTTGGTGACTTAGTGTAGATTTTGTGAAAAGAAACAAGGCGTTGTTGATGGTTGTTTCTTAGCTTTTATTTGGCCTCTCTTTACAGAGGTTTTCATTGCCAACTTTTTAACGAGTTATTGGATGGCTCTACACTAGTATTAACGACTGAAAGAGAGGGAAGTTAGACTCTGGCACTTACCTCTAAGATCTTTTAAATACATTTTGTTCTGCCTTTAATACCGGTGTCTGCATTAATATGCGGTATTGCCTTGTCGGTAGGGGTTTCTCTTTTGCTTTGTCTTCTAGGTTCGCGTGCTTCTCAAGTCCGAAGGCTTCGTGTATCGACTGACTAACCTGAAGGCATTCTGTCAGTCGAATGGCAAAAGCTACAGCCATACTCTCCTCCCCATTGTGGACCTCCTTTTAAAGGCACTGACCCAATGACCTCATCTATTTCTGACCTGTGCATTTCACACGCTTCGTTTTTCGTAATGTATACTGAATTTCCCGCTTTAATCCGCTTTTCGCATCTCAGTCTGAACTAGGATTGCAATATGTACTTGGTTCACTCCACTCCAAGGTCCGCCCGACATATTTTGCAAGAGCGCGCATCGTAAGCTTAAAGTGCTTTCAAATTGTGAATTTTAATGATATCTTGATGTGAGAGCAGTTGGGATGGCTGAGAGTTTCGTCTGTCATAGTGTCACTTAGCTTGCTACCAATGTGCTGTCATCTCCGTCTGAAGCATTTTTACAATTCGACGGTTGTGGCTGATTATGAAATTGATACCATTGAATATAATACTAAAAAATGGTCCAATACTTTACCTCTAGTTTTACACTACTCAGCAATGAGTAAGACTGTAATCCTTGGAAGGTTAGCATACTTTTTTTCGGTAAATTACATGGTCTGGAGAGCGTCACAGCTCATGCATTAACTTTGCTTGTCTGTTTGCCTTAAGCCAATGCTTATTCTGGTTGCAATTCTCTCCTCTCCGAGTCATAAACTATGCGGCAATCTTGGCTTCCAGTATGGCTTGGATGTCTTTAAATGTTGCTGCCGTAAGTGTGTAGGTGTGCTTCTTTTAAAAGAGCGTGAGCTTTGAAAAGCGGGCGTTTTCAATCTCCCCACTAATAAAAGCCATCGGAACCTCGAATTGTCTATAAGGATTGTCATTGGTGCAACTCAAGACATAATTTTCATATCTGTTGCAGTAAAGGGCTTACAACTACCGCAGAATTGATTCCGTTCCCGTATTCACCCACTCCCTTATCGCGAGTCCCAAATAGGCAACTGTAGGATCACATAGTTGCTCTGCCACTCTTCTCGGAGATGCCCCACCGTTTATGCGGTGGGGTGTGCCATAGTTCATGCGATTCCTTTGTTTTGTATTCTATCAGCACAAGAAGGGACCCTTTACTATCAAGATTCTGTAATTAGTCGTGAAAGTGTTTTAGTTCAAGTAGTAGAAGCTTGAACATCGCATAAAACGCAAAGTCATGTTATAGTAATCTCATCATTCTTGTACCGATTTTCCCTTAGATGATTTAATTTTGCGGTAGAGTTGACAGCCACGGCGCCAAACAGAGTGGGGTTGTGTGTCCTAGCGGTCAACGCGGAAATTTAATGTCCTGTCAGTGCGCATTCATTTGACAGTGTGAAACTAGATTGCAAACCGGCGTCATCTCTACCACCTCATCAACCATTAAAATGCCGGTTAAATTTTCAACTTTCTGCAATTATTTCTGATCTCCTGAAAAATTCTGCCATTTTGTCACCTGTGTTTTAAGTTTTGCTCGACCAACATTCTTTTCTCGTGACCTTCAATGAACAATGTCTTTCTCCAACCTTTTCATTATATCAATTGAAGAAGACGAGGAAGCAAATCGATGAAAAGAATTCTAAAATTATCACTTCTCAGAGCCCAATGAGAAGTCGAAGAATGAACCCGTCGCCTATTTTAATTCCCTAATGAAATCGTATTTGGTTTACTTATTTCAATTTTGTCACTCATGCGTCAGACTAAGCGGGCCTCATGTACTTTCCGCAGTGCTTTTAAGTTGATTGGTGCGCCAGATTGACTGGAACAGACTACGCTCTGGAATTTATTAGAACCTCCTTGAGCAGTGGCTTTCGCTAAATTACGGGTCGCCAAAATGAGATGGCTGTGCCTCTATCCCCATTTATGAAGTTGACCCCTTAACTTTTGCCTCTGGTAAATAATAACCATGACCCTTGTTTTGAAACTAAGTGAATTTTATTCTGGCCTTTCCTTCCATTGTCAAACTTCATAAATTTGACTAACAGCTAACCAACTAACACCAGTTGAATGCGCTTCTGTCCATGAGGGTGGCTTTTCAATAAGTGTGACTTTTAATGCTTTTAGTCGAATTCGCATCGCTCACTAACTTTTAACATCTGGTAAAATTTACTTGAACTTTAGCATTCCATACTTGCAATATCGTAAGCGGAACTTCAAACAATTAACCGCTGACTACCTTGTAAGACTGTTACAGCCTTCGGGTAAATGAAAACGCTAAATGTTTTTGAAATAGTAAGCGATTTACACTAGCGCTGATACAAAACATGGTTGTAGGTCAGAGGCGTAGAATTATTAGTGAAAGGCGAAATATAATGAACCAGACACATGGATTTTCGCCTCTCTTTAGTTCACTTTCAAAAAAATTTCCTTAATTTTATCAGTGTGTTTGTTGACACTGTTAGTGGTGAGGAAAAGGTCGCCCTGAAAATTATCACAACTCTCGGTTGGCAAGTCCTGCTCTCTACTACTCCGGTATTCTAAATATGCATTAAGAGCAATTCTATGCAGTCTATAAGCATAAAATGTCGGCATGGGTACGGGTATATGTTTGCGGTGTAATTTAAAAATCATCATAAGTCAAAGGATGTGTTCTCAGTTTTTTCTTACTTCCCACCAATTATGTCAAAACAATGTGAGTAGGATGTATTTGTCTTTGAACTAGCCAGAACTGCTCCAATAGCAACGATTAAGCCATTTTTTATGCTTACTCTTTCGAGTACTACGTATCTAAAGCTAGTTGGATTTTTCATTAAAAAACAGCAGGCTCTTTACCATCTGAATGTGGTATTTGCGTGTCTCATGTTTACATCAAAAAGTGTAGGGACTTTGTGAGCATCCCACGATACTCTTGTCTCTAGATTGCAATGGGCTGGATTAGGTTTTAATTAAAAGTCATTTGCAATAACAGAAAAACTATTCTCTCCTACCCTTTTTCCTCGCAATCGCATCGGTTTTCCACGTTTTCTTTTGGGAGGAATTTTCTTATTAGGTAGTACAGCTGCATGAGCATGCCAAATTGAAGTTCATTTGGTGTGGATATCGTCCGCTATTTTACCAAGTTTTGGTTTGAGAGTACAAAAGGTTTCGCCAGTAGCACCAAGATCATACATGTGACAACATCCTCTACGGGCTCCAAATTTAGTAAGAATTTTTGTGAAATGCTAAACCTATTCTGTGCTTAAAACAATTTACCAGGTCTGCATTGAATGCAAGAGTACCAGAACATGACTTGGACTTATCGAAGAAAAGCTTAGTACGGATGCAAACGTTCTCTTCTCCGATACCATATAGGCTCAGAGACAGTAACACCGAAGAGGCTTTAACAAATTATACTCTCACTAGGGCAAGATCAAAACTTTTCTTTCAAAGGCTACAATTAGTTATTTGTAATGCAATGATCATCTGATTAGTGCCCAGTCTGCAGATTTGCAGGTACTTGAAGTCTGATAGCCATGCTTGTGGTTCCCAGACCTTCTGTACTACGGCACCACGCAGTCCATCCAGAAGCTGTTTTGGTGGTACTAGACAGCAAGCTTTATGGCGCACACACTATTACTGATTTTTCTGAACTTCTACATGATTGGAGAAGAACACAGGATGTGCATGCAATAATCAGTTAAAACAACACAAGGGTAGATAGTGATGTCAACTTCCGGCAGCTATCTTGGTTCCGCGGTCTGCTATTAAAAGCTGAAGAGACACTAATCTTGATGATGTTTCGTTACGAAGCCATTCACAAAATCAGCATGTGGATGCCATGTCAACACCCAATATAATTTTCACCTCTCCTCCAGTTTAAGAAAACCCAGGTATGTACTGAAGCAAAAATATTGACAAGGAGGAATTGACGCGAAACCTTATCCCTAAAAACTAGCTTTACCTCCATCCGTTATGATATTACTGTTCTTAGGTCCGATTTTCGATAAATGGCAATGGACAGGCAATGATAACTAGTGCATTTTCACGTCCCCAAAATCATTTCCCGTACAGAACAATGCAACTGATCTGGTGGAATTAAGAAGGAGAATGAGTGTTTATGCATAGAAATTCGATGACTGGCATGGACGGTTTGTGGGCGTTTCCTTACAGCATCGATTGCACTGCGAAGGCTGACGGGCGACGCGGAAGGTTTATCAAAGGGAGACAACGCTCAAAATGATGAATAACTGTGCAATTCTTTGTTTGCTCATCTCGCAACTCTAAAAAGAGGTGGCTTAGGTTCGCCACCGTTGTATCTTGGCTGAGTGAGACAGTGTCCATACCCTGTCACTGATTTTATGCCCTTCTTTAGGTTAAAGTTACCTGTATTATGTGCTGCCTTTTACTGCATTTCGCCTCCAGAAGGTCAAATACCGCCATGCACATCGACGTCTATTCTCACATCAAAAACTGTACAAGCACAAGCCATTCAGAATCGTTGCAGTGACGATAAGAAGCAACACTTGGTTGAGATTTGAGAACACTTTTGGCTACTCACCAGCATTATTAATTTGGTATATACTTCTGAATAGCGAGCTCCTACGGCTTAATAAACCGAGAAACTAGGAAAGATTTACTAGTATGGGCGGATACTTATAAAATAATCACTGCATACATCAAACTCGCTGACACTGAGAGACCACATTTTGAAGCACAATGCAGTGACTAAACATGTTTAGAAGAAATTTGTTTTTTAAGACTGCAAGTCCTTTGATTAAAGCATTTGTCAGAGTGCACCAATTTCATACAAATGCAATTGTACTCTGAGTTTAAATTTGTTGCTTCCATGGCACTTCTTTCCTCCTATGGTGAACATTTTTTCCTTTAAAAAAACCGCATTTTGATGCAAAATGGGTAGCCTCAACCGTTTTTATGCTTGCCGACTTCCGCAAGAGACTTCTGTGTCACGATAAAAAGTAGTGGTAGTTCTGTATTTGATCAGTCTGTGCGATTTTTCGGTAACCAATGTAACCGTGACCTAGGCCTTTGTCTCACTTAATTCACAGCTATCATCATGCTCTTCTTAGCCCTATCTTTAGGATGCTGTATTTTAATGGCTAGTTTATGCGCCAAAGTTGGACCTTCTATCATGTGCATTTCGAGTTCCTTTCATTAAGCTATAGAGACGTCTTAAATCACTTTC